GCTGTTCCCGTTGTGGCCTCCTCTACATCGGGGAAACCAAGTGGAGGCTTGGGGACCGCTTTGCGGAACACCTACGCTCGGTTCGCACTAAACAACTGCACCTCCCAGTCGCGAACCATTTCAACTCCCCCTCCCATTCCTCAGACGACATGTCCATCCTGGGCCTCCTGCAGTGCCACAACGATGCCACCCGAAGGTTGCAGGAACAGCACCTCATATTCCGCTTGGGAATCCTGCAGCCCAAAGGTATCAATGTGGACTTCACAAGCTTCAAAATCTCCCCTCCCCCTACTGCATCCCAAAACCAGCCCAGCTTGTCCCAGCCTCCCTAACCTATCCTTCCTGCCACCTATCCCCATCTCCTACCTACTAGCCTCATCCTGCCCCCTTGACTTGTCCGTCCTCCTTGGACTGACCTATCTCCTCCCTAACTCTCCACCTACACTCACCTTTACTGGCTCCATCCCTGCCTCTTTGACCTGTCTGTCTCCTCTCCACCTATCTTCTCCTCTATCCATCTATCTGCCTCTCCCTCTCTCCCTATTTATTTCAGAACCCCCTTCCCCTCCCCCATTTCTGAAGAAGAGTCTAGGCCTAAAACGTCAGCTTTCCTGCTCCTCTGATGCTGCTTGGCCTGCTGTGTTCATCCAGCTCTACACCTTGTTATCTCAGATTCTCCAGCATCTGCAGTTCCTATGTCTCTCGCAGTCAAAACCAAATTCTCTTCAAGCAAAGTTAGATCTAGGGCTCTCAAGCATATTTAGACTTCTGTCTAGTTTTCATAGACTGATAACAGAGGGACTTGTCTTTATATGTCTCTCTGTAAAATTTCAGGATATTCCAGAACTCTTCACACACAACAAATTACTTCCAATGCTTTCACTGCACCACTTAGGTGAACTTTTATGCATTGCAAGAAATGAATAACCTGTTAGGGCTGATGTAGTAACCCTACATTCAGTCCCAATGATTTCTACCATAGCTGGTTGTGATTTTATAAGAGATGACTGAAAATGTTTCTTACATGCAATGGCTGAAGATTGATACTGTAATAATTACTTGTTTCAAAAATCCTGTTAGGAGCTATCCAATCAGTTAGGTGTGAACATTCATTGGTGTAAGTTTGCATGTAGTTCGACTTACGTCACAAATTCTAGTTCAAGTTTTCAATGTTTACTGAGTTCTTGAGTTCTGAAGAAGGGCCACTGGATCTGAAACGTTAACTCTGCTTTCTCATTACAGGTGCTGCCAGACTTGCTGAATTTTTCTAGCAATTTCTGTTTCTGTTTTTGATTTCCAGCATCTATAATACATTGCTTTTTTTATTCCAAAGTTTATGCTCTTCTGATGTGAAACAGAGAGGGAGTGCTAAGAAATGTGTAGGCATTGCAGAGATAAATTCTGTTCTTCACTTAATTGTTACTAATTTCACACTGTGACACATAATTTCACAGGCAGAGGCAGAACAAGCAATCCACAACCCAACTAGATTTCACTGTAGATAATTCAAATAGTCCCTCTGTACTAGAAAAATCAAAGCTTTACACTGTGACTCGGGAGGGAGTATCCATTGTTTGTTCATTGGTGTGCAGGCCATTTTGGGATCATAATCGCCATGTTTGCATTAGATGTTTACATTTTGACCTACCACTAAACTCCAGAAACCTCCTCCTTTTTGAAGCCTCTCTTCCTCCTACAAAATCTTAAATCCAAGATGAGCATTACTTAATCATGACTTCTTGATTTCTCTTCTTAAAGAGAGTGATGCCAGAAATATGGACCCTGGTCCTCCAAATACAACTGTCATTTCAAAAACAGCAACCTTTCAGTTATAAAATTAATGCATGATGGCAACAAAATTTCCAACCATTGACAATGGACTCAAGCATCGCAATACTGGGACTAGGAAATTAAAGTACCTTTCATTTATTAAATAGTTACTATCAGTTTTCCTCGTCTCACCTTTGGTTACTGCGTCGAACATAGTTTTCGCCATCAGCTGGCTTGCGGTATGTAGTGAGTGCCTCGTTCAATTGTTCTTCAATTAGATCTACATATTTCAAGTTGTATTCCTGAAAGCAAATACAATGTTGGTGCATTGCTCTCTAAACTACTGATCCTCTATATATTTAGAACTAATCATGTACTGGGAATTTTACAGAGCCCTGCATCAAAACACAACAGGAGACAGGATTAAGTTCAAATTTAATATTATTTGCTCATAATTTCCAATGAGTTGTTCTGGACATTTGCAGTCAAACAGTAAAACTGTCAACTAAGATCAGGATTGTAAAAGCAGTTTCTTGTTGAATTCCAGAATTTTCAAAACTCCTTTATTTGCTGCTTGGATCCATGCATTACCCACACAATGAGTAGCCTTTGCTGTAAGGAGATATAGCAAATAGCTAACATTGTAGAGAACATATCAATTTCTTTGAAGTTTAATGAATCAGAATGATCGCATAAATGTGTAAAGTTCCTAAGAGAGTTTGAGGACTATTTAGAACTAAGGGTCATAGTCCCAATATAACAGGTAAAATTTTAAGGCTGAGAGGAGGAGATTTTTCTTCCTTATCCAAAGACTATGGATAGTCAGTCATTCTCCAGTAAGTCTTTGCTCAGAAATTTAAACCCAAAATTTTAGGACACAGCTTGCTGTTACAGTGAATTGGTGGTGGGTGTGGCCTACCAAAATTAAAATGAAAAGTGCAAACCAAATTCAAAGAAGTCTGAATAAGATTGAAAGGTAAACTGACGAAGGAGAGTTGGTTGGTGATATAAATAGTGGAATTTGGAAAAGAGGTGAAAGTAGTCTACAAGGTCTTGAGCTTCACTGGCAGGTGAATACAGTGCAGATTCCAGGAGATGATACTACATTAACATAAGCCCAGAAGACTTCTCAATACTGTATTTCCTTTGCAACCTGCAACTGCCAAGATCCCAGAGATAACTGGTCCAATGACCTGTCCACATGGGGTAGAATACTAATTGACATCCACCTGAACATTATATAGTTTGTTCTTTTGCTTCCTTTATGGACTAACCATTATTAGCTAAAAATGATTTAGTCCATAGTGAATCTTTGCAGAGAGAAATCCGTTCCCTGCTTTCTCCTCCCACACCCAAATTCTGTGTGTGTGTTTTTTTTGAGTTATTTAGAAGAATATTCATTTGTATTTGTGTGTTAACCAATGCTGCATCTTTGTGGGATATCTTTGCATGGTTTGTAAATTTTTTTGAATTTTTACTGAAAATGGGAGAAGATACTGCTTTAAATCAAGAAAAACAGAGTAAGGAGATGTTGATTTAAAAACAAGTTACTGGAACAAGCAGTAAGGGAGTATTCCAGATGGAATGGAACTGCGCATGTGTGTCTCAAGGCAAACCTGTGCTGAACAGTCATTTGTAGTTGGTATGCATTGTTGACACTGTGTGCCAGTAGTGGAAAGAATAAATGTTGAAGGTGTTAAGTGTAGTGCCTAGCAAGCTGGTTGCTTTTGTCCTAGACAGCAGTGAACTTCAGTTTTATTAGAAAACTTCCAATTTAAATGTTGACCATTGTTTTAATATCACACTTACCTTTTGCCATTTCTCCAACTGTTTGGTAACATAACCTCTTTCATGCAGGTAGGAGAACCCCTTTGGAATGGACAAAAAGCTGAAAAAACAAGTAGAATTTCCATCAGAAACCCAGTCAGCAACTTGGCAAAACTTGGGATCAACACCAAGGTTGGTACAGTAAGAGAATAAAAGCTACATCTATATAGAAACACCACTGGGCTTTTGTTTTCATTCTAAGTGTAAGGCAATGATTCACACAAAACCGCACTCTCACATTCACACTCAAAAACTGTGTATGCCAATGCAATATTAACTCTTGTGTCATGTAGCTGCTCTTTTCTTTCTGAATATGAATATGAACTACTTGAAGAATCCTGTATGCACAGTATTATTCATGAATGGAATGGAACATCAAAGGAGAAATTAGTATCCTGACTGAAGACATGAATTATAGGTTTGAGAACAGGAAGGCAACTTTGGTCAAGACAAAGATTTGCTGAAGTCTGAAAAGTGATTTTAAAGCTGTGCTAGAAATGGGAGAGCACCGCATTTCCATTGGTTTGTGACCTTTAAAATGCCTACATTGCTTCTTTCAAGAGGCTGAATAGACACAGGCTTTTCTCCCTGGCGAGCCAGAGGCTGAGGGATGACCTTATAGAGGTTTATATCCATTAAGGGCATGGATAGGGTGAATAGCCAAGGTCTTTATCCCAAGGTAGGGGGGTCCAAAACTAGAAGACATAGATTTAAGGTGAGAAGAGAAGGATGTAAAAAGGACCCGAGGGGCAACTTTTTCACACAGGGGGTGGTTTGTATGTAGATTGAATTGCTAGAGGAAGTGGTAGAAGCAGGTACAGTTATAATATTTAAAAGACATTTAGATAGGTACACGAATAGGTAAGGTTTAGAGGGATATTTGCCAAACACAGGCAACTGGGACCAGTTTAGCTTGGGAAGCTTGGACGAGTTGGACCAGAGGGTCTGTTTCTGTGCTGTATGACTCTATAATAGATATGTACCACATTGAGTGGAACAGCATCCAACATGTTGGGTGTTCCTGATATTGGGCTAGAATTGGATCATATGGGAGTCTTACATGAGGTATCATCACATGAAACTGACCAGGTGGGTTGGCCTCTGCCATTCCATTCACTGCTGGGAGATTTTGCAGCTTTTAATCCATGTTTAAATAAGGTCAAAGTCAAGGTGAGGACGCGGACCCTACCTCACAGCATATTAGAGCTTTGACCGAAGCTCAATCTTTGTTTTTGAGATATTCCATCTTCATTTCTCACATGAACCTCAGTCTGTACAACCCTGAATTCAGCAGCTGCCAAGTACCACATGAACATTTCCAGCAAGGAAGGAAGGGGAGAAGGAAATTCTCCATTTATTTCTTCCATTCTTTAATGGAGTAACTAACCATACAGAGAAACCAAGGGTCCAGGAAAGTTTAAAGGAGGACAACTGGGCCAAAGGGCTGAGGAATGGCAGATGGAATTTAATTCAGATAAACGTGAGGTATTGCATTTTAATAAGACAGCCAGGGTAAGGGTTACACAGTTAATGGTAGGGTCCTGGCAAGTATGGCTGAATAGACAGACCTAGAGGTGCAGGTACACAGTTGCCTTGTAAGTGGTATCACAGATAGGCAGGGTTTGGCACGTTTGCCTTCTTTGGTCAGGGCATTAAGTACAGGAGTTAGGACATCATGTTATGGCTCTACAAGACATTGGTAAGGCCACATCTGGAGTACGGTGTACAATTCTGGTTACCTTGCTATAGGAATGATGTTATTAGACTGAAAAGGTGCAAAATAGATTTATAAGTATGTTACTGAGACTGGAGGGTTTGAATTATAAGCAGGGGCTGAATAAACTGGGACTTTCTTTCCCCGGAGGATAGGAGGTTGACAGGTGACCTTGTAGAGGTTTATCAAATCATGAGGGACATAGATAAGGTGAATAGCCAAGGTCTTTTCCCCAGGGTAGGGGAGCCAAAAGCAAGAGGGCATAGATTTAAGGTGAGAGGAGAAAAATTTAAAAGGGATCTGAGGGACAACTTTATCCACATAGAGGGTCGTCCGTAGATGTAACGAGCAGCCAGAGGAATCGGTAGAAGTGGGTACAATTACAACATTTAAAAGACATTTGGACAAGTACATGGATGAGAAAGATTTAGAGGGATATGAGACAACGCAGGTAAATGAGACTAGTTCAGTTTAGGAAACCTGGTCAGCATAGGTGAGTTGGGTCAAAGGGCCTGTTTCCATGCTGTATGACTCTATGACATAAGCACAGAAAGCTTGGATTAGTGGGAAAAGGCAGGAAGAAACATAAAAGGAAAGTAGAGGGGAGAGACAGGATCAGTTGGCAGTTAGGAAGGCAAATGCAATGTTAACATTCATTTCAGGAGGGCAAGAATATACAGGACAGATGTACTACTGAGTCTGTATAAGGCTCTGGTCAGACTGTATTTGGAAAATTGCTGGCAGTTTCGGTTCCCATATCTGAGGAAGGATGCGCTGGCATTGGAGGGCATCCAGAGGTGTTTTACAAGAATGATCTTGGGGATGAAGGGCTTGTCATATGAGGAATGGTTCAGGACGTCGGGTCTGCACTTGGAGTTTAGAAGGATGAGGGAAGATGTCTATTGAAACTTACAGCATACTGAGCGGCCTGGATACAGTGGATGTGGAGAGGATCTTTCCAATAATAGAAAAGACTAGGACCGGAGGGCACAGGCTCAGAGTGAAGAGATGGCCCTTTCGAACTGAGGTGAGGAGAATTTCTTCAGCCAGAGGGTGGTGATTCTGTGGAACTCATTGCTGCTGAAGGCTTCGGAAGCCAAGTCATTGAGTACATTTGAATCAGAGCTAGATAGATTCTTGATTAGTAAGGGGATCAAGGGTTACAGGAAGAAGGCAGGAGAATGGGGTTGAGAAACATACCAGCCATGATCGAATGGTGGCACAGACTCACTGGGCTGAATGGCCTAATTCTGCTCCTAAATCTTATGGTCTAAAATAACTACGGATGAATGGAGGGCAAGCGGAGAAACTGGATAGTGTAATAGGTGAATTTAAAGAGCTGTTGTAACTCTGATGGGATGAATATGCCGAAAATCAAGCCCCATTACTACATGAACCAAAACAATTGTATAATTGTTTAATTTAATTTCAAAAATGTCAAATTTGTTTCCCTTTATTACGCCTAAATAGAATAAGACACTTTCACCAGGTTCTTCAACAAATCAAACACTTATTTGTTAAGAACAAAGTTATTGTTTAAACAATGGGAAAATGGGTTAACTAAGCCACCATGCAGACTTGAATTATACCCCATCAATTCCAGATACACATTCATACAGACAAGATAGCTCTGTAGAGACATAATGGACTTGGAAAAAAAAGGCAAAAAACCTTGAGGGTTAAAATGAAGAGAGACAGCCTCTCTATCACATCTAGGTGCACACTGAAAAAGCAACTTTAGTTCAGAGGCTTGGGCTAGGTAACCTTCAGCACAGTTCCAAAGGTTTTTCCAAATCTGCTTGTCCTACAATTCAGCCATAAAAACAACTTTTATTCTTTCTTAGAAGCTTTTCTGGACACTTACTAAAGTCCGTTAATGTTTAAGACAGTGGGTAAACCATCTGTGATCTTTAACTTTTCATTTCCAAGAAATCACACAGTAAAACCCTCTTTAAACCAGGAATGAAGGAACAGTTCCATATTCCAGCTTCTCAAAGTCTATAAATATGCAGCTCTGAAGAAAGGTCACTGGACCCAAAACATTAACTCTGCTTTCTCTCCACAGATACTACCAGACCTACTGAGCTTTTCTAGCAATTTCTATTCTTGTTTCTATAAAAATGAATGTTTTTCTAGCAGACAGGAGCAAGCTGATTATTTTATTCTCAATAATTGTGCAGACCAGGCAGGCCACCATTTAATGCCTTGAGGGAATATCAGTCTGCAAGCTGTAGGCATGGATAAGATGCAGATGACTGGAGAATAATACTCACCGAAGTAGCAGCAGCAAGCCTTTGTCTCCAAGGTGGGCTAACGCTGGTTTCATCTGGATCAGTGCATGCAGATTAGCCTGGAAGATTATAAATGCATCAAAACAACAGCACAAAGAAAAGAACAGACCATTTAAAAAAAAAATTCATGCTAAAGCAGTTGGTGGCTTGGCCAACATTTATTGCCCAGTTTTGTAATACACACTGGCTAGAGAGGAAATGTCTATCGGAAGAACAGTCAAGCTCTCGGTTCTTCAGGGTCTGAGCATGGAAATTAGGTTGACACTTGAAGTCCTAACCAAATGCTGTATGGCTGATGAGACTTTAAAAGATAGAGAGACTGGCGCTGATTTTATGTTAGAAAATCTTAGCCAGGATGGAGGTGCAAGGCACAACTCCACAAGGACCTTGCAACTAAATGGAAGAATCTGATCCACAAAGGACTGCATGATCCGTTGGGACCAGTCAACGGGGAGAAGGAAAACTGCAACTGGGGCCAACGTGAGAGTATATGGAGCCACGGCTTGTGAATCTCCATATAATGAGGTGCGTGTATAATCAATTCATTCCCCTAAAACTGATGAGCAAAATAAGAATAAAACAACAGACCTGAGCACTGACTAATTTAAGTATTTACTCCACACACAGTCTCACCTTGTCCTCACAAGCTTCATCCAGGATATCGAGTGCTTCTGAAGAGATGGCTTTATTTTTATCATGCAGCTGTGTCACGAGTAATTCTATGCCCCAATTGCTGAAGAACTCCACATTGGCCCGTAGTAAAACCCGCAAATGTTTTGTTGCATACAGTCTGCAGTTCTACATAAAAACAGTCGACAGACCACACTGTGGTAAGCAATAGGAAGTCTCTTTGATCTAATCTAGTCGACTCCGCACAGAAGAAACAGAAACCAAGACAGTTGAGACCTGCTGATTTCATTGCAAAAGTGGTATCCTAGACAGCAGATTTTTCACATCTATACCAGAGACTAGAATAAAAGACGTATTCATGTTTTACAACTTTATTTCAAGATTCATTGCCCATCCCTAGATTTTCTAAGACAGTGGAGTGGGTGACCTTCTTAAAACACTGAACATGTTGAAAAAAACTGCTGGTCTTCTTGTCCACTTCAGAGGGAAATTTAGAGTTACCTACATTCATATGGAACTGAAGTTGTATTAGGTCTTACCCAGATAAGGAGGTTGAGGCTGCTGCCTTACTTACCATGGCAGTGAATCTTTCTGCAACCCACATCAGAGAATGATCTAGCCTCTGCCAAGGTCCCTCCCATCAATGATTAGGAGGAGGGGTGTCAGAAGGCATCCATTGTTTATGGGTGTCACACAGGGTGTTAGGAAGAGGAAACTGATCTCAGGAGAAGGTGATTCAAACTTTAATGACAACTTACACTATAAAAATGGAAACGACAATTTGACGCAAGCCTGCTGCCATCCAATATTCCCTTACATCAGCATACATGCAAAATCTGAGACATAGAATTGCGAAGACCAAGTGAAGGCGAATTTTAAGACTCTCAACACATTTTGTTTAATAACTTAATCTACTTACATCGGTACCTGACGTAAGGATTTTGGACAAGATCACCCTGGATAATCCATCACGGCTATAGTCTAACGTGGAGACAGTTAGCTTTAACACGTGGTCATAGTTCTTCAGAGAACAGAGGTTGAGTAAACTATAGAGAGAGATAGAGGGGAGATAATGTTGCTTTCAAGCCTGGGCAACATTCTGCATATCCCACATACTTCAACACAATTAGCTGCAAATCCAAGAATTTTCTGCCATTTAATCACATGTATTTTACTTCAGTCCTACCCAATGGCTCTGTCACATTTCCCTATAGTAGCTCTCTCTTTTGCTGCGTTAGCAAAACTGGGAAATTGTGTAAAAGAGCTGGACTTTCATGGAATGTCATCAAGGTTCTGGAGTGAGTGGATAAGGAACCCACTCCCACTGGCGAAAAATTCAAAAATCAAAGTACACAGATTTAAAATCACTGCCAAAAGAAACAATGGTGAAATGAGGAAAAACATTTTTATGCAGCGAGTAGTTACAAATGGAATATGCTGGGATGCCTGACAGCACAATGAAGTCAGATTCAATCAAAGGATTCAGAAGGGAACTGGATCATTATCCAAAAAATAAAAATGGACAGAGAAAAGTGGGGCAGTGCCACTAGACGAACTGCTCTCTTGGAGGACTAGCAGACATGATAGAACAAACTGCCTTGGGCACTGAAACCATTCTAAAATTTTAATTAACAAAATAGACTGCTATTGGACAAAGGAAAGAAGGTAGAGAAAAATATTTAAATCAAAGAAATCTACTGGACCCACAAAACACAGCAAATGCTTGTTGATCAACTACAAAGGTTGCTACAAGCACCAGGCAGCCTTGCACAGAGATAAAGAGGTTGATAGAAGATAACTAGAGCATCTAAATAGAGTAGCGTAGAATAGAAGCAGCCCATTTAGCTCATCGAATCTACACCGACCGTCCAAAGAGTATCCCAATCAGACCCAGCTTATCCCTGTAACCCTGCATTGCCCATGGCTAATCCAACTAGCCTGCAAATTCCTAGACACTATGGGCAATTTTCCACGGCCAATCCACCTAACGTGCACATCTTTGGACTGTGGGAGGAGACTGGAGCACCTGGAAGAAACCCACACAGGCACAGGGAGAACGTGCAAACTCCACTCAGAGAGTCACCCAGGGGTTAAATCGAACCCGGGTCCCTGGTGCTATGAGGCAGCAGCATTAACCACCAAGCCACTGTGCCACCATCTGTCAGCACAGTACTCTCTAACAATCAACTAATCAATGGGATAAGAAATGACCACTGGAAATCTTCAACCCGGTCAGTATTCAAAAGATGAAAGACAGTGCAACAAAGACAGTGTTGACCACAAAATGTTACAATATATAAGCGGGTTTTGGGTCTAACATTTCAAATGTCACCCCTTTCTCGATCAATTGCTCGTAACACACAGACTTGTGCCGTAAGTATTTATTTTTGACCGCAACTCAATTTAGCCATGACTTACCACTGGAACATGTTGCATTTCTCCAAAACCTTAACTCCTTGCGGATGAGAGGATAGGGTACCAATAATCAGAAAGTAGTGCTGGCTGAGGGTGTTGAGTAAACCATTGTTCTGCAGGCTGCGTTCATGTTTCAGACCGGTTGATGGGGTCAGCCACTGCACTATATCTTTGACCAGCTCCTCCAAGTACATCTGACCATCCTGGTACAATATGGAATAAATGGAAAAGGAAGATAAATTCTCTGCCTGTTCAGAATTTAACCTTGAAGAAATCTGCACCATTTGGCAGAAGTGATACACTTGCTCACTTACATCTTAATGTTCAAAAAAAAAACAAGGATTCATTCTGTAAAAAAGACTGATAATAGTCAACATATCTAAATAGTGGATCATAAAGTCTAAGCCTGTACAAGAATTCCTTCTCAAGATGGCGTCAGAGTACCAATGCAGCATGTGGGCTCCTAAGCCCGGAGGTTGTCTGTTATGTCTGCTTATACTTTGTTCTTCTTCTTTCGTCCTTTCTTTGTTTTTCTTCATCTTCTGATGTCATGGGGAAGGTGGAGCGATGTTGGTTGCCTCCGGCTGTGATAGGCCCATAACCTGGACTGAGGAACTCGGTGGGTCGCCGGCTGCAGCAGTGCCCAGAAGAGGACTTCTGGCTGCGGTAGGCTTGTAGCATGGACTTGGGGCGTTTAGCTCCAGTGGTGCCTGACATTTGGACTTGGCTGCAGCGGAGGCAGTGCCCAGAGCAAGGACTTCTGGCTGCAGGACCTTGCAGAGACATTGCAAAAGCCCTTGTAGACCTCTTTTTCAGGATATGGACTCTGTTTATGTAATTTTTAAAAATCCTTTTGTAGTCTGGAGTCTAAGTGCCAACGTGGACTGGGGTGGAAGGACTGTAAATCTGAACTTTTTATTCCTTCGTTTTTCTATTTTATTCCTAAGAATCTGTACCTAAGATCGTGCCGTAAGTGGTGACCTGTAAACTTTTCACTGTACTCATGTGAGGACATGTGACTAGATAAAACTAGATATTCCTCCTGATATGGGAAGACTTTTTAAATCTCTCACTCAGTTCTGTGAGAAGGTTCCTCAAAAAAATGGCCTCCAAATCTAGAGCACTGAACAGCAGTAGTGTTCTGATAAATAAACAGGGCAAGCACTGCGTGCAAGGCAATATAAACCGTTCACCATTCTCTTGTCCCCTTGTTCTCTTCTATTCACTCACGTTTAAGCAGGTAGCCAACCCGGTGATTAATCAAACTGAGTGAAACACAGAAGATGCTGGAAATACTCAGCAAGCCATTAACTGATGTGTGCGCTCAAGACCACTGATTTATGGTTTTCATAGGGAAGGGAATGAGTTGTAAAATTCCACTTTTAACAGTAAAATCCAGGAGCTTGATTTGATAAGATCACAATTTCAGTTATCCAGTCATTATGATCCAATAGCTACAATAGAGGCTGGAGCTCTTAGTGTGTTTCCCAAACCACTTAGTGTCACCTCATTGAATTTGCCTCAGTCGCACTAAGTCCATCTTGTCTGAGATACTCCTCTTGCCTTGATCTTTGCTCACTCATTTGCGCAGTTTTATCTTGGAGAACAAAGATCAGCAAGGCCGCTGATGTGTGGAACCACAGGCTATGGGGGAGATACTAAAGGAGTATTTTGCATCAGTGTTTACTGTGGAGAAGGATATGGAAGACAGAGAACATGGGGAAATAAAGAGCGACATCTTGAAAAATGTTCATATTACAGAGGAAATGGTGCTGAATGTCTCAAAATGCATAAACGTGGATAAATCCCTGGGACCTGATCAGATGTACTCTAGAACTCTGTGGGAAGTGAGGAAGAGATTGCTGGGCCCCTTGCTGAGATATTTGTATCATCAATAGCCATAGGTGAGGTGCCGGAAGACTGGAGGTTGGCTAACATGACGCCACTATTTTAGAGGTGGTAAGGAAAAACCAGGGAACTATAGACCAGTGAGCCTGATATCAGTGGTGGGCACATTGTTGGAGGGGATCCTGAGGGACAGGATTTGCATGTATTTGGAAAGGCAAGTACTGACTAAGGGTAGTCAACATGGCTTTGTGCATAGGAAATCGTGTCTCACTATTGAGTTTTTTGAAGAAGTAATGACGGAGACTGATGAGGGCAGAGCGGTGGATGTGATCTATATGGACTTCAGTAAGGTGTTTGACAAGGTTCCTTATGGTAGGCTAAATACCATGGTCAGGTTACACAGACTACAGGGAGAACGAGCTATTTGGATACAGAACTGGCTCAAAGGTAGAGGGTGGTGGTGGAGGGTCGCTTTTCAGACTGGAGGCTTGTGACCAGCAATGTGTCACAAAAATCAATGCTGGGTCCACTGCTTTTTGTTATTTATATAAATGATTTGGATGTGAACATGGGAGGTATGGTTAGTAAGTTTGCAGATAATACTAAAATAGTGGACAGTGAAGGAGGTTTCCTCAGAAGAATCTGGATCACATGGGCCAAGGAGTGGCCAATGGAGTTTAATCTAGATAAATGTGAGGTGCTGCATTTTGGAAAGGCAAATCAGGGCAGGACTTGTACACTTAATGGTAGGGTCCTGGGACTGTTGCTGAACAAAGAGACCTTGGAGTGCAGGTTCATAGTTCCTTGGAAGTAGAGTTGCGGGTAGATAGGATAATGAAGACGACATTTGGTAGGCTTGCCTTTATTGGTCAGTTCATTGAGTACAAGAATTGGGAGGTCATGTTGCGAATGTACAAAACATTGGTTAGGCCACTTTTGGAGTACTGCCTGCAATTCTGGTCTCCCTCCCTCTAATTATGAAACTAGAAAGGGCTCAGCAAAGATTTACAAGGATGTTGCCAGGGTTGAAGAGTTTGAGCTATAGGAAGAGGCTGAATAGGCTGGGGTTATTTTCCCTGGTGTGGAGGCCTAGGGGAGACCTTTATAAAATCATGAGGGGTATTGATAGGGTAAATAGGCAAGGTCTTTTCCCTGGGGTGGGGATGTCCAAAACTAGAGGGCATAGGTTTAAGGTGAGAGGGGAAAGATATAAAAGGGACCTAGGCAGCAACTTTTCCACACAGATGATAGTGCGTATATGGAACAAGCTGCCAGAGGAAGTGGAGGAGGCTGGTACGATTACAACAATTAAAAGGCATCTGGATGGGTATATGAATACGAAGGGCTTAAAGGGATTTGGGCCAAATGCTAGCAAATGGGACTAGATTTATATAGGATATCTGGTTGGCATGGACGAGTTGGACTGAAGGGTCTGTTTCCATGCTGTATATATCTGAATAAGTAAATTATGGTCATTTTAAAGAGGTTATCCCTCTCATTGCTGACTTCTAGACTCTCACTGATCTCACTATTCACATGTCTCTATGCTTTGCTGATATATAAACACTGTTCTTCTGCATTTTTCTCTTGTCCCTCTATCCTTGAAGAAAGAGATAAAATGCACTGTGCTTCCTCTGCATCTGTACTTGTATTAAAAATCACAATCATAACACCAACTCAAACTTCCACACAATCTTTCTCAGGGCCTTGAAACTGAGAAACTCCTCCCTTCACTTAATCTTCCTTTCTTCTACAACCTACAGAATTTTAAAAGCCAAATATGCCTTAAGTACTGTACCTCAAAACAATTCATCCTCTCTCTCACTCCCTTCAATTTGAACCATTCCTCTAGAACCATTCCAGTAAGTGACACGTCTGCGCAGTAATTGCTTTGTCAGCACAATGCATTTCACATTTGTCTAATTGTTCATACTCTCCAGCCCAGGTCTTCTGCACCCTTTCTTATGTAATTACGTCCTACCTATAATGTGACCAGAACCTGAGTTCATAAGCATTGGCTTTGGAATATTCTAGACAAAAATTGTTGTTGTATGGGCAGAGAAAGAAGCTGGCAAGCTCACCTCATTAGATTCAAGAAGAAACTCAGTGAACTGGCAGCCCACCACAGTCAGCTGCTTTCCCATTGCATGATCCAGCTCCATGTTTGCATACAGCTTACCACTGGGCTTGTAAAAATACAGCAATCGACGCACAAACCTAAACAAAAGATAGAAACAGTAATCAACGTAACAGAAAAACAACTGAGTAGTGAAACAAGTAGGAAGGCACAATTATTTTAAATTCAACAGAAAATTTGCAATATTTAGTTGATTGAAGGAACTGTTATTAATTGTGAAAGTTTTGAACAGTAAGACAAGCTTGAAAAATGTCATAGATAATGAATACTTTTTATTTGAAGGGGTATTAAGGAATAGAATAAGTTCCCAGTGAAAGAACTTGAAAGGTCAGGTATAAAAAAAAATTAAGAGGCAATTATTTATGTTTCTAATGTGAAAGGGTTGAGGGACAGTGTGAGAATAATGTTGGGGTTGAAGGCTATGGTAAAAATGTAGGCTGGTGTGATTGAGGAATATGATGAGAAGATGGGCAGATGTGAGCAAATGGTTGTGAGGTTGAGGAGTTTGGTAAATCGGTGGAGATGAAGATATGGTGACAGTGTGGCAAGATGAGAATGACAGGATATAGCAAGGTGGTGCAAAAGTGAGACTGAGGGATATGGAAAGGAAATTAGACAGTGAGACAGAGGAACATGATGAGGAAGTGTGATTGAAAGATAGAGAGGGGGAGAAAGTGAAATTGAGAAAAATGGTGAGAAGAAGTTTTGACAAATATCAATGTTCAGAGAGATCATCTAACTGGGGTCATTGGCCTTGTTAAGAAACATTATGTTATCCTGTTAAGAAAAGTATTATGTTACTGTTTATAAGTAATCAGTAGAACTGCCTACCCCTCCCAATATGGAACACCAGCACAACCCATACTGACCTGTGTAACTGTTCATCTTTGTAGTTTCGCAGGTTTACATTTGGCCACTGCAACAGGACAGACATCGACAAGGTGTTAATCTCAAACAAAATCATGTGTATTTGGAATACATTGAGGTAGGTCACAGGGAAATGTTTGCTTCTCCAATCATCCGTGGGATCTGTCACTTCTCTCAAATAGCAAACATTTCCGATTTGGGCTATAACTAAATTTAATTTTGATTCTTCATTTTCCCCTTTCTCCAACTGTTTTTTCTGTTGAGCAGTCTTTTACACAGCCCTTAACTAGTTGGTAGCTTAGTGTCACAATCTGAACACACTTTATTTTCTAACTTGGGTTACAGCGTGGATTGGATAGGATATAGAGCAAAACTTCCTTTACACTGTCCCCAAACTCTTCCAGGACAGGTAGAGCATGGAGGATGGTACAGCATGGTTTAAAAAAAAAACAAAGAACTGTGGACACTAAAACAAAACCAGACCTGGTTTCCTACTGACTTCTTCATAATAATTAATACTAAATTTAAAGGTAGTAGACAAAGTGCTCAAATCCCAACGATTTCTTCAGACATCTACCTTAAGAATGGTGGAGATTAAGTTCCAGTTCCACCTTAAGTTGTCCTTGTTATTTAGGACATCGCTATCTCGCAGATTCTGCATCATTGCCTCCTCTGTGTCCTAGAAAACAATTTAAGAATGTAAAGAAAGAATATATCACGAAGAATACTGATAATCACCATATATATAGGGATAAAAATAAAAAGAAAAACTGCTTTAAATCTAAAATAAGAACAGTACATACTGGAGTAAGCTGGAAAGGAATGTCAGTGTGGATTTAATCACTTTTTGCACACAGGATATTTCTGGACAATTTTCTACACAGCCAGGTAGATGTTATTTGGTATCTGTACAGGAACAGCTTGACTGGTGTTACAGCTGGTAAGTCACCATCTTGACCAACTGTTTCATTTGGAGCAGGTACACTCAAAGTGCTGTTAGGGAGGGAGCTCCTGGAGTTTGAGCCAGAAACAGAGAAGGGATGTTTAGATAGTTCTAAGTCAGAATGTTTTCTTGGTGTGGACTGTTGGTGTTTCCCATATGTCTACCACCTTGTGCTTCTCAGTGGCACAAGTAGCAGGTTTGGAAGGTGCTGTTGAAGAAATCCCAGTGTGTCCTACCTTGTTATTGGTATACACTGTGCAGCAGGCAGCAAACGATGAATGTTCTGGATAGGGCTGTCAATCAAGTGGACTGCTTCGTTCTCAATAGTGTCAAGCTTTGAGGATTGGAGTTGCACTCATTTAATAAGTGGTAAGCATTACATCATGCTTATACTTTGCAGATCATAGATGGGCCTTAGAGAGTCAGGAGTGAGTTACTCACTGGGGGATTCTAGCCTCTGATCTGCTCTTAACAGTATTTATACGACTAATCCAGTTCAGTTTCTAGTCAATGGTAACCACCACAATGATCATGGTGGAGTAATGTATTTGATGATCAGGGTGAAATCATTAGATTCTTTCTTGTTAGACCTGGTCATTGCTTAGCATTTGTGAGATGTTATTATTCCTTGCAACTTATTAGCCCAAGTCTGGATGTTATCTAGGTTTTTGCTGCACATAGACATGAGCAACTTTAGTAATTTTGTTTTTTTTTGTGGGGGGTGGGGGGTGTCATATATTGTACTGAGCACTGCACTATCAATCAGTGAACATCCCATTTCTGACCCACTTCTGACCTTAGGATGGAGGCAAGGTCATTTGTAAAGCAATTGATGATGGTTGGGCTTGGCACACTATCCTGAGGAACTCCTGAGCCATTAGACTATAAGTCGTAGCAGCAGAAGTAGGCTATTCAGCCCTTGTTTCTGCTGCACCATTCAAATGAGACCATGGCTGATCTGAGAATCCTCAACTCTACTTTCCTGCCTCTTCCCATAACCCTTGATTCCCTTACAATTAAAAATCTGTTGATCTCAGCAGCCTTGAGAACCTTTTGTAGGAAAGAATTCCACAGAATTACTACCCTCAGAAGAAATCCCTCCTCATCTCTGTCTTAAACAAACAGCCCCATAATGTGAGATTATGTCCTCTGGTCCTGGGCTCTCCCACAAGGGGAAATAGCCTTCTCGTATCTACCCCATGAAGTCCCCTAAGAATCTCGAATGTTTCAATAAGGTTGCCTTTTTTCTTCTAAACTCTAATGAGTACAGACCAAAGCTACTGAGTCTCTCCTCATAAGACAGTTAGTCTATACCCAGGATCAGCCCAGTGGAAGTTCTCCAATGAGCAATGTCCTGGAGCTGAGACGATTGACTTCAATAACCACAACCATTTTCCTTTGCAGACAACATGATTCCAACAGTGGAGAGTTTTCCACCTGACACTCATTGGCTACAATTTCATGAGGGCTCCTTGATTTCACTTGGTCAAATGCTGTTATGAAGTCAAGAGCTGTCACTCGCACCTCAGTTCTGGAATTTAGCCTTTCCTTCTCCATGTTGGGACTGAGGCTATAATGAGGTTAGAAGCTGAATTGCCCTGCCAGAAGCCAACCTGAACATTAGTGTGAAGCTTGTGATGTGCATGTGCTGCTTCAATAGTACAGTCAATGACACCTTCCATCACTTTCCGACGATCAAGGGAAGAATTAAGTGGCATTAATTGGCTGAGTTAGATTTGTCCTGGTCTTTAAGGTCAGGATATGCTTTGACAATTTTCCACATTGTTGGGTAGGTGACAGGGTTTTCAACTGTACTGGAACCACTTGATTAGGAATATAGCCAGTTGTGGAACACAAGTCTTCAGCACTACAGGCAAAATGTTGAAAATACCTTGATATTAGATGGAAGTGATCTAAATTGGTTGGAGACTGGTATCTATGATCTGTGAATCACCTTCTTGGCACTTTTGGTTATGGCTGCAAAGACTTCAAGCTTTATCCTTTGTTGCCCCTCTGGTATATCTGTCTGCTTTTGGGAAAGGTGTATCCAGGATGCAATCTGGAACATTGTCATACCCACTGAATCATTACATGGCAGCCAATGTCAGGCTCTTGCTGGAGAGAACTATGGAATAGTATTCTCAATTTTGGTACAAGGCCACAAATATTGGTAAGCTGGTCTTTCAGGACTGACTCAGCAGTGTGCATCTTTGCCTTTTTGGGGTACCAAAGACAGATGTTGGCCAGTCCATTCAGCTTTGTTCCAATTCCTTTTTGCAACAGTTTGACAAGTAAGAAATTTTATCTTACAGACTTCACCATGCCCCTCTCGCCAATGGTCAATAATTCTGCTAGCAAGTGCCCTGCACCTGATTGTGGAACATCAATACTGATTTACTTCTTTAGCAAACATCGGTACGCCAAAAATATTAATTATTAAAATGGTCCTTTGTCAAAATTGCTCACTCAGGCAACAGATGAAACTGCATTATGTCAAAATATGTACAAAACTCAATTTCAGTTGCCACTGAAGATTAACAGAAGCGTTGACCAGTGACCTGATTTTCACATTTCCAATATCTCGCATCATGTGTACAAAGTGATCTACAATATTACCTTTAATATAAAGATGTCTTTCTGAACACGGAAGTGGTGATCCCGCTTTTGATTAGTGGAGCCATTTTTGTGTGTGATGTGATCCAAGTACAGGCTGTAAGGTTTTGCACCTCGCTTCTTCATTTCATGAAAACGCTTCAGACAGTTCACAGCTGCACTGGCTCGCCTGTTCATAAGTCAATAATAGATCTAAATTAGAGGAAAATAGCCATAAGCTTGATAAGCCCTGCCATGGGCCTTACCCAATTGGAATTGAATATACCAGAGAGGGAAGAAATCTCAATCATATGACCAAAATCAAATTTGCCTTTAGTCATCATTTTCCTGAACTTTACTCCTACTCCAAATACACTGTCCTTCACAGGGACAGTGGCTCAGTGGTTACCACTGTTGCCTCACAGCACCAGGGACCCAGGTTTGATTCTACCCTCGGGTGACAGTCTGTGTGGACTTTGCACATTCTCCCTGTGTCTGCGTGGGTTTCCTCCCACAGTCCAAAGATGTGCAGGTTAGGTGGATTGGAGGGATGCTGTTCAGAGAGTTGGTGGACTTGATGGGCCAAATGGCCTAATTCCACACTGTAGGGATTCTGTGACATGTTGGTGTCAACTTTTTGCTGGAAGAATTCACAAAAATTGTTTTCCTTAAAATAATATTCATTCCTGTTGGCCTTATCAGCTTCCTGTTTTTCCACTGTCAGGCCTGCTCGTGCACAGACAAACTAGGTGAAAAGGAATATTCATTCCTGTCTGCCATTGGTGGAAAGATCAAGAATCCAGCAGAAGTAGATTTAAAATGATTAGCAAAAAGAATCAAAGGTAAGTTGAGGATTTTTTTTAAACTGTAAGAATAGTTAGGATCTGGAGTATATTATCTGGAGGGGTGATTGATTTAATCATGACTTTCAAAAGAGAGTTGAATATGCACATGAAGGGAAGAAAAGGTCAGGGTGAGCCAATTGGACTTGGTAAATTACTGGTCAGAGCCAGCAGGGGCTCAACTAGCGAAATGGTCTCTTTCTGTGCTGTAAGCCATCTATGATTCCATGGTATTATACTATCTGTGCAAGTCAGTGTCTAGACCTGCAAAGATATAGAAAACAGACAGTAAAAGGGAAGCATTCAGTTCCACCTAATACAATGTACCCAGCTCCAAACTATAATGACACAACAATGGCCAGTATCAGAATAAAGATGGTAACAGCGATGAAGGTATAATTTTTTTTGATATGCTAGACATACACAACTGCTGTATAAATGGCTCCTATGTGGACAATGAGAGCCTTTTGTAGACATGACAAAAGCTGCCATACAGTTTGAGTTTACCATTGAGGATGTTGCTTCTTGCTGGGGTACAGCTCACTCATAGTCCATTAGCCTTCCATCATCTGAAACAACTTTGCAAGTAACACTGCAGGCATCCCCACCAGATAGCAACAGTGGCAGCATCAAAGCAGGTCCTTGTTAACTCTGCATGTTCTTTCCTGCAGGGGTTACTGGACAGCAGTCACAAGCAGGAATCCTAGCTGAAAACTCTCGCCCTCAATTCCATTTCTCCATTTTAAGCATCCTCAAGCCAACAAGGAGATCTTCAATTTCAGCAACTTTTGACTTGCGTATGTCAGTAGCAGAATAGATAATACATATAATAAATAGCTCCCTTGAAAAAACATCCACTTAGTGTGTACCAGGACAATAATTCACGCAGATAATATCAGTGTCACAACTTTTAAATATCATAGACAGTAACTATAATTGCACCAATGGCTTTGTTTTGCATCACCTCGCTTGAACCATGACATGCATACTGCATTGCTTGGTGTGAGTGGGGAAAATACAATACTTACAACCGCTTTTCCTGAGCGATATCAAAGGAAGCTGCCATGTTCATGAGGGTTGGTAAACAATGCAAGTGGTGGCTGTAGGTGTACGGCAGGATAGTATTTGCCTATATGAAAAATAAACAGATGTTTATCCTGGCTACATCACAGATAGTTTATGTGAAACTTCAGTGCAGTGAAATGCCGAGATATTAAACTTCTGCCCGGTCAGGATATTAAAAGAGTGATTAGGAAAGATTGCCAAGTGCCCTGGCTAACATAAATCTTTCAGCCAACAGCAGTAAAACTGGTCACCTGCAGTAAGTCCAACTTGGTAACCAGATATTATTCATCCCATGGCTGCTTTTTATGACTATGCAGTTGTAAAGAAACACAATAAAATAATTTATGGAAAGCGTAACATCACATTTCAGACCCTATAAAAACCAAGGTGCTTCTGTCATATTCTAAGGTCTTTTATCTGTCTCTAGTAACCAGATGCTACTGTCCATTGTGGTCAGGACTAGGAAGGTTAGTGCCTGGCTAGTTAAAGGACACATTATAAGACCAGAAAGACAGTGTCAGGCTGTTTAGAAGAGACTAATGTTAGGAATAGAGAGATAGTCTCAAATCAGTTTCACTCTTACCATGTGCAAGAGCTCGCCTAGCAGGATGGTGGCCCGCACAGATACATTATCATTGCTGCTTGTTAGCACATCAACTAGACTCTAAGGAAAGAGATAGGATGAATTACAATAGTGAAAAAATCAAAACAAAAACAAGAATGGGCAGTTGCTTTACTGCAGGCCAAGCACATCGCTCACTCAGAAAGCTCTAGCTTAATAGGAAAAAATCTCCCTCTATACCAACTGCACCTGGTACTTGGGACACATTTATTGACTAATATAATCTAACACCATATTGTTGGCTATCTGGCAACATGGAGTGCACTGCTTGTTATCGTTAAGTTTCCTGCATATTAATGGCAAACTAACATCACAGATCAATAATTAGTTACAACTTAAATACAACCTAGTCCTACTGCTTCAAATAAACTACTTATGCTTAAGGTAAACTCAATCCAAATTTGCGAATAGTTTCCAGTCTGAACTCATTCACAAATATGTTAGTCTCTTTTCAAACGACCGAAAGCCCCTGCAATTCACTCCAGAGGCACTCACAATGCCAAACAGAACACAGTACAGAATATTCTGCTTATAGCTTATTTGGTGACACTATCCCTTCATTCAGATCGTTGCAGGTTCAAAAATCACTCCAGAGATGAGCAGAAAATTATAGGTGGTCACTGCATAGCAATACGGACTGAGCGTTACACTGTCAGAGGTCAGACGTTCTAGAATGAGACAGAAAATTGAGGACCATCTACTGTCAGCTGGATGGAAAAGATCCTATTACTAGCCACAGCATTCTGCGTCAATCTTTATCCCTAACTTAAAATAAGGAAACAAATTATCTGATCATTATCACATTGTTGCTTGAGAAGGGAGTTTGGTCTGTGCAAACTGACTGTTCTATTTTCTGCACTGCAAGTGACTACACATCAAAAACATTTCATTGGCTACAAATACCCTACATAATTGCAAGTACTTCTTTATCTACTGCGATACAGAACTGCAATTTATCTGAGGAAGGGTCACCAGACCCAAAACGTTAACTCTGTTTTCTCCTCCACAGATGCTGCCAGACCTGCTGAGTTTTTCCAGCAACTTTGTTTTTGTTCCTGCAATTTATCTACATAGGTGGTCACATGGTTCTTGTCACTGGACTTGTAATCCCAAACTTTAGGCTGACGTTCTGGGGTCAGAGGACTGGAACCCACCACGACAGCACAGTGGCTCAGTGGTTAGCACTGCTGCCTCACAGCGCCAGGGACCAGGGTTCGATTCCACCCTCAGGCAACTGTCTGTGTGGAGCTTGCACATTATCCACATATCTGCATGGATTTCCTCTAGCTGTTCCAGTTTCATCCCACAGTCCAAAGATGTGCAGGCCAGGCGGATTAGCCATGCTAAATTGCCCATTGTATCCAGGGATGTGCAGGCTAGGTGGATTAGCTATGGGGAATGCAAGGTTACAGGGATAGGGTAGAGGGAGTAGGTCTGGCTGGGATGCTCTTCGGAGGGTCGGTGTGGACTCGATGGGCCGAATGGCCTTCTTCCGCATAACAGGGATTCTATGATAACAGAATTCAAAACGAATTCAAAATCTGGAAACAGAAGTCACCTTAATGCTGACCACGCAACCAGTGTCAATTATTGTAAAAGCCATCTTTTCATTAATGTCTTTTATGGAAAGAAATATGCCACTCTTACTTGGCTGGTCTACATATGACTACAGATCCACAGCAATGTAATGACTCTTAACTGCCTTCTGTACAGCTGGGATGGGCAATAACTTGTGGCCTAGCAAGCAATGTCCACATTTCATGACCAATTTAAAATAAATATATTAGAATTTGGATTTGCGCTACTAGCACATAGATTTTGGTCAGTATCTGAAGGGGTTTAATGATTACCTTGTATGTATGTCTGTAGTTATGGTGATTTATTTCTTAAAGAAAGGTCTTAGACAGTTTATGAAAGCTAATAGGAATTTGTTTTCATTGATAGAGTTTTAATGAGTGAACAAAGTATCAGTCGGGCATTAAGCTTTCAGTTTAGAAGGTCAGAGATTTATTTTCCTTTTGCATTTCAGTTTGGCAGTTTGCCAAAATATTAGCTGAAGCAAATAGTTGTTCCTGAGAAAGGGAGCTAATTAGAACTGTTAAGAGTTTACCTTAGTATAAGAAGCTCAGTTTTGAAATTCCAGACCAGAAATGTTTGGTTAAAATCTTGAAAGGGTTATTTGGTCCTGAGAAAGTCTCAGTCTCGTTGTACAAGGATGAGGCTATCAGATTCTCAAGATGAGAAACTGAAGCCACAGTTAAATTAAGTAGTGATGGAGAAGGAAATTCTCTCTGGTGTGAGTATTTAAATGAGGGTCTTTGGGATTAATGGAATTGTAATTTAAATGAATTAGAATTAGAATCCCTACAGTGTGGAAACAGGCCCTTCGGCCCAACAAGTCCACACCGAACCTCAGAGCATCCCACCCAGATCCATCCCCCTATGACCCACCTAATACACACCCTCTACCTCCCTGAACACTACGGGCAATTTAGCATGGCCAATCCGCCTAACCTGCACATCTTTGGACTGTGGGAGGAAACCGGAGCACCCGGAGGAAACCCACGCAGACACGGGGAGAATGTGCAAACTCCACACAGACAGTCGCCCGAGGCTGGAATCGAACCCAGGTCCCTGGCGCTGTGAGGCAGCAGTGCTAACCACTGCTGCCACCGTGTCGCCCGTTGTGCTTTGAAATCTTTGGACTTGTGTTTCTTTTGTGCAATAAATTTCTGTTTTGATTGTCAAAAATGAAATGTATGGTACTGCATGCTTGTATTTTTATGAAGGACCACCTTAGTAAAACAAAAAATAAAAATCCATCAAGCCAGTTCTCAGTTTAGGATTGATTTATCCTGTAATGACATCAGCTGAGTTTGTAACAGTACATATGCATCAAAATAAACTTTTTCCCTAAAATAATTGTTACCTCCAGGAGTCCATTGTTGATGAATGCAGATAGCACAAGTGCCAAATAGTTATCCATCAAATCAGGCCTGGAAAAGATGATTCATAAATATATCACTTCAAGTGAATTAAAACTACTAACGATCCTGATTTATGATTAATGTGATCCCCCTCTCACCTCAAAAATCCACATCTCAAAAAGAAGACGTACACTATACAACATCTCACAGGATGCCTTGTTGTCACTTTGCACCCGTACGCCACACATGCACATTTTACAAAATGGGAATCTATGGGATTATACATGCTTTTGGGCGTTTGGTACACTTGCCTTTATTGGTAAGTGCATTAAGTATAAAAAGGGGGACATCATGTTGCGGCTGTACAGGACATTGGTTCAGTCACTTTTGGAATTCTGCATGCAATTCTGGTCTCCCTGCTATAGGAAAGATGGTGTGAAACTTGAAAGGGTTCAGAATAGATTTACGAGGATGTTGCCAGGGTTGGAGGGTTTGAGCTATAGGGAGAGGCTGAATAGGCTGGGGCTATTTTCCCTGGAGCGTGGGAGACTGAGGGGTGACATTATAGAGGTTTATAAAATCATGAGGGTCATGGATAGGGTGAACAAACAATGTCTCTTTCCCGGGGTGGGGCAATCCAAAACTAGACGGCATAGGTTTAAGATAAGAGGGCAAAGCTTTAAAAGGGACCTAAGGGGCAACTTTTTCACACACACAATGGTGTGTGTATGGAATGAGCAGCCAGAGGATGTGGTGGATGCTGGTACAATTACAACATTTAAAAGGCACCTGGATAGGTATATGAATAGTTGCATGAAAAGTTCCATACCCATGAAGATGGCTCAACTGTGATCTAGGGTTCATGTCGCACTACACACTGTTCTGTACCCGTAAAATCTTCCCTGCTGTCCTGTTTTGTCATCATCACATTTACTAATTGTTATGATCTTTCTACCTTAATTAGCTTGTACACTTTTGGATTACTTATTACTTTGGTTAGACCCTCGATGGGGAGGTGCCATAGATTTGGGCAGACAAGGTCAGAAACCATACGACACCAGGTTATAATCCAACAGAGATAGCAAGAACTGCAGATGCTGGAATCAGAGGCCACACAGCAGGCCAGGCAGCAACAGAAGAGCAGGGAAGTCGACGTTTTGGGTCCCGATCCGAAACGTCAACTTCCCTGCTCCTCTGATGCTGCCTGGCCTACTGTGTTCCTCCAGCTACATATCATACAGTTCAACAGGTTTATTTGAAAACGCAAGCTTTCGGAGCCTCACTACTTCTTCAGGTGTTAGTGAGAGAGGTGGAATCAGACACAATTTATAAGTAAAAGATGAGGATGTACTAAACAAACCTAAGATGCTGTTAAATCTTTAATTAGTTAGAAGGTTTTAATTGACTAATGTGTATATTTAAATCCCTGAATTTCTTTCAAGGCATTGCCCTGAGAGAACTAAAGGTTTTATCAGTGTAAAGAAGAGGTGATATTTTAGGTCAGACAATGCATGTTAGGTTGTGAGGCCTTGTTTAGAATCTGTTTGTGTTTTGGTTTGGAGTCAGACCGGTTTTATTCCACATGTAGGAATTAATAAAATGCCACATTGACTGACTGTCTATAAATTGGGTGCTTTTTGAACAAAATAGAATGCATCTGCAAATACAAATTCATCCCATAGACTTGCCTGTGTGCGTGGAAGTGGGTGGGGGAGCACGCGCACAGGAGAGAGGGAGGGAGAGCATGTGCCCGCGCAGGAGACAGCATGCGAGCGTGCATGCGCAAGCGAGAGAGCGCACGAGCGTGTGTGTACCACTCTTGATTACCCGCAGAGACTAATTATTTGGCCTGTCAACTTTCCACTCACACCATTTGTATGATCTTTTGATCTTTCTGCCTACAAATTTGCCTGTATGCTTTTCTCTCACTTCACCTGACAAAGGGGCAATGCTCCGAAAACTTGTATTTCAAATAAACCTGTTGAACTATTACCTAGTGTTGTCTGATTTATGACTTTGTCCACCCCAGTCCAACACCAGCACTTCAACATCATGTTAAACACAACAGATTATATTTCAACATGAAAGAGTTGAAAGAACTTCACATGCACTGACACGAGGCCACAGAAGAGATTGTGTTGTCTCTGGCAGAAGAGCTGTGCTGCTTACAGGACATTAGTGAAATCAATTATAAAGTAAAAGCCTTATCAAAACAGCACTTGAATCACACAGCTCCAAAATCTCATGGTACTTCACACAGAATAAATTGCCTTCAAGTGCATTGACATTCCAGGGTTAAATAAGGACGACACTTTGCAAATACGTAGGGTGAAGTCCCTAGCCTCAGTCAAGTACATCCAACAACTGCACATATAACGGAGTCACATACCTGGACCGGGCTCGATGTGGGAGAATGGTTTTAGCTTCAGCTGCTACAAATCCATCTGAAAGACGCCAGGAGTCCTGGAACCTGCTGGGATCTGGCAGGTTGAGAGGGAATAGAAAGTGCAAAATACAATGTAGGAAATTATGTAATGAGAAAGGTTCCATTCAGCCCAACAAGTATGCATTTTACATTGGCTATGCAGCCTGTACTTGGGTAACACAGGGAATAACTTCAGTTAACAGGTCAAAAGAAACTCAAGAATGCAGAAGTCATTGACAATAGTAACAATTACAGGATGATATAGGGAGACTGATGAAACAGACAGAAGTATCATGCACCACATTCTAGTGGAGCGCAAAGAAAGGCTATTAGATAGCATATTAAAGGGGGAACAGGAACAGACATTTGGGTATACTTTCATAACTGAAGTTGAGAAGGCTATTAACTATTATTTTTATTAATTGAGGTACAGAATACTAAAGCTCAGGAAATTATGCTGAACTTTTATAAAGCAGGGGAGGGGGACTAATTGAAAGCTTAACCAGATTCAGCGCAGATATGACAGGCCAAATGGTTTCTTCTGTACCATTCTATGATCTTTCCAGCTTCTCTTCATTTATAAGCTGTAACTTTAATTCCCAAGACTGATCATGGTCATTTGTTACTTCTTAAATTTACCTTGCCTTCTATTTTAGCCAATTATGTTGCTGTCATACATTGTGAGTTTTGACCTTTCATTCAGGTTTGTTAAAGGGAGTTCAAGTCTTCACTTAAGTGCAGCTGATGCTGCTCTCCAGCAGAGGGTAGCAATGATGAAGTAATGGTTTGAACTATACAATGTCTGAATATTTTTAGATTCTTTAGCAGAATTTCAGTGCTGCAGCAAATTTATTTCCAAATATCGTACAATCTCCCTCAAGGATTTTTTCTTGCTTTAAATTATTTTTGGCATTTGATGTATTTGCTACCTGTGTCAAATTGTAGTCAACTATGTACGGGAGGAACGAAAATGTCACCGAGATAATGGTGTCTTGACAAAGAGAGAGGGGTATTTTGAATATCCTTCAGATTTGGCAGTCAGAACTTCATTTATTTTAAAATTATCCTCCTCAGTCACTTTACCCCAACGTATCACCAGGGGTCAGTGGATAGTAACCAGAAGCAGAAATCTGGCTGATAGCTTTCTCCCTCTCTGCCTTGGGATACTGAGACCATTCCTGGCGGCAAATCAGCTTAACTGCTTTTAACCAGGATCTTATTGGACCTGATCTGTAAAAGCCAAAGCCACGTGGAATATCGAAGTTGTGATGACAGGGGACAGTAGATTAACTATATGGCACAAGACTGGTAGCCCAGATGTTAAATTTGTTAATTCAATCATTTGGTAACCTCATCAGCTAATACAAATGCATCCATCTATGACGGAATTGGTAACAGTGGCCATTGCACAGTCCTTGTGGAGACAAAGTCCCGCCTTCACATTGAGAATAACATCCACTGTGTTGTGTGGCGCTATTACCGTGCTAAATGGGACAGACTTCGAACGGATCTAGCAACTCAAGACGGGGCATCCATGAGGCGCTGTGGGCCATCAACAGCAGTAGAATTGTACTCCAGCACAATCTGTAACCTCACAACCTGGCATATCCCCCACTCAATCATTACCATCAAGCCAGGGTTTCAACATTGGTTCAATGCAGAGTGCAGGTGGGCATGCCAGGAGCTGCACCAGGCATATCTAAAGATGAGGTGTCAACCTGATGAAGCCACCAAACAGAACTGCTTGCATGCCAAACAGCATAAGCATCAAGTGCTAGACAGAGCTAAGCAATCCCACAACCAACGGATCAGATCTAAGTTTCGTTGTCCTACCACATTCAGTCGTGAATGGTGGTGGATGATTAAACAACTCATTGGAGGAGGATACTCGACAAATATCCCCATCCTCAATGATGGAAGAGCCCAGCACATCAGTGCAAAAGATAAGGCTCAAGCTTTAGTAGCAATCTTCAAACCTGGCATGTAACAAGGTGGTCATGGTTGTTGGAGGTCAGTCATCTCATCTCCGGGATATCTTTGCAGGAGTTCCACAGGGTAGTGTCCTCGGCTCAACCATCTTCAGCTGCTTTATCAATGACCTTCCCTCCATCAGAAGGCCAAAATTGGGGGGGGATGTTCAATTGATAATTGTACAATGTTCAGCACCATTTGTGACTCCTCAGATACTAAAGCAGTCCATGTTCAAATGCAACAAGATCTGGCAAAATCTAGGCTTGGGCTGAGAAGTGGCAAGTAACATTCGCACCAGACAAATGCCAGCATATAACCACCACCAATAAGAGACAATCTAATCACTGCCCCTTGACATTCAATGATGTTACCATCACTGAATCCCCCATAAATACAGTGGCTACAAGTGCATGTCAGAGGCTAGGAACACTGCAGCACGTAACTGACCTCCTGACTCCCCAAAGCCATCTACAAGGCACAAATCAGGAGTGTGATGGAATACTCCCCACTGGTCTGGATGGGTGCAGACCCAACGCTCAAGAAGCTTGACACCATCCAGGACAAAGCAGCCTGCTTGATCAGCAACGCAGACATAAACAACCTCTCCCTCTACCACCAACGCTCAGTACACACTGCTGCTATTGCCTACAAGATGCACTGCAGAAATTCACCAAAAATCCTCAGACAGCACCTTCCAAACCCAGGACCACTTCCATTTAGAAAGACAAGGGTAACAGATACATGGGAATACTGCCACCTTCAAGTTCCCATCCAAGCCACTCACCATCCTGACAGTTCCTTCATTGTTGCTGGGTCAAAATCCTGGAATTCCTTCCCTAAGGGCATTGTGGGTCAACCCACAGCAGGTGGACTGCAGCGGTTCAAGAAGGCAGCTCACCCCCACCTTTTCAAGGGGCAACTAGGTATGGGCAATGAATACTGGCCAGCCAGCGAAGCCCACGTCCCAGAAATGGATATAAAAAAGTTAAATTTATGCAGCTAACCTTTTTCTTAAAAAAAAATCACAGAACAGAAACCTGATGATTGACAAGGGCACGGCAGTAGATATTATCTACATGGCAGCCTGATACAAAAGGTGATGTGATCTGCGGAGAGCAGGTAAGATGGATACAGAACTTGGTGTGCAGGTCCACAGTTCCCTCAAAGTAGCAACACAAGTGGGTAATGTGGTCAAGAAGGCATATAGCATGCTTGCCTTCAATTGTTGAGGCAAAAATTGGCCAGTCATGTTGCAGCTGTATTGAACTTCACTTTGGCTACATTTGGAATATTGTGTTCAATCTGGTCACCACACTACAATGATGATGTGGAGGTTTTGGAGAGGGTTTATCAAGGTATTGCCTAGTCTGGAGGATATTAGCTATGAGGACAGATTGGATAGACTTGGTTTGTTTTCACTCAAACATCGAAGACTGAGAGGCAACCTGAGCTTACAAAATTATAAGAGGCATAGATAGAATGGATAGTCGGAGTCTTTTTCCCCAGAGTAGAAATGTCAATTACTAGGGGACATAGATTTAAGGTAAAAGGGAGGCAAGTTTAAAGGAGATTTGAGAGGCAAGTTTTTTTTCAAACAGAGAATGGTAAGTGCCTCGAATGTGCTGCCAGAGGTGGTGGTGGACGTAGATACAACAGCAGTGTTTAAGAGGCATCTTGACAGATATATGAATAGGTAGAGAATAGAGAGATATGGACAGCGTACAGACAAAAGATTTTTAAACTCTGGTTTTAAACTTCCGGTTTTCCTTCGTAGTGGAATGTATATGGGGTCGAGTTTAATGTGTTTATTAATAGCATGCTTCGTGGAGTGCCATGCTTCCAGGAATTCTCGTGCTTGTCTCTGCCTAGCCTGTCCCAGGATCTTGGTGTTGTCCCAGTCGAAGATTTTCAGTTTAGAAAGGTATGTGTCAGCATAGTCTTGGTAGGTCAAATGGCATTGTTCCTGTGCTGTACTATTCTTTGTTTGTTCTTTGTTATACCTATTAGGATTAGTCTGCATGTGATATCAGTTCCACAGTATGTAGTTGTCTCCAAATACCTGAGAGAAAAAAATTGCTGGCTGAGAATTATCACCTAGCTGTGAACAGAAAGCAACAGCCAGCAACTTGATTTTCAACACGAACTTAATCATTGACGTATGAGGGAAGATTGACTAGGTTAGGATTGTTTTCACTTGAGTTCAGACGAATGAGTGGGTGGATCTCACAGACTTATAAAATTCTAACAGGACTAATCGGGTAAATGCAGGGAGGAAGTTTCCAATGGCGGGTGTGTCCAGAACCAGGGATCACAGTATGAGGATTTGGGGTAGACCATTTAGGACAGAGATGAGGAGACACTTCTTCACTCAAAGAGTGGTGAGCCTGTGGGATTCATTACCACAGGAAGTAGTTGATGCTAAAATATTGAATGTATTCAAGAGATGGCTAGATATAGCACTTGGGGTGAATGGGATCAAAGGTTATGGGGAGAAAGCAGGATTAGGCTATTGAGTTGGACGATTAGCAGACTCAAAAAGCCGAATGGCCTCCTCCTGTTCCTATCTTCTGTGTTTTTATTTTACTCCACGGGACTGGTCACTGATCTACGATCATGTGAAATGGTAACTCCTAACTTGCTCTAGCAAGGGGATATGCTTCTGAATAAACACCACCTCTGCGTGCTTTCTTACTGTCTAAGTACTGCCAAAAATAGCACTGGGAAGTTCTTCTTCCACCTATTAGAAGCAACTTGCATTTATATAGCACCTTTAATGTAGCTAAAATGTCTAAATCACAAAAAAAAAATCCAATCTCTGAACTTGCATTGTTTAGTTTACAGTGTATCTGCCAAATGTAGAACTCCAATAAAAAGGCTTCCCACAGATGAACAAGTATGTACCAACAGGCACTGAATCATACATGCAGATCTTTACTTTAATCAGCCTGTAAACAGTTTTCAGCATCTGTGAAGGAAAAAACAGAGTTAACGTTTTGAGTCCGGTGACTCTTCCTCATAACTCTCACGGACCCGAAATGTTAACTCTGTTTTTTCCCTCACACATGCTGCCTGACCTGTTGAGCTTTTCCAGCAATGTTGTTTTTGCTCCTGATTTACAGCACCTGCAGTTCTTTCGGTTTTTATTCACTAACGAAGGAGTGGGTTCAGCCGATTAGAGTACCTCATTCCTTCCATGTGTGATGATCAAGTGACAATGAGAATGTTCACCCACCTACACTGAATAGAGCTTCAGAAAAGTCCTGCGTTGTCACAGGGATAGGGAGACGGAAGATATCGTACAGCACCTCTAGCAGACCACGCTGTCAAAATGAGAAAGAGGGGGAGGAAAGTGTTAATTTTCAAATATTTTTCGTCAAGAAGCTCTGGCAACCCATATCAGCAGTACAAGCACTGATGAACCATTTAATGTAGTCACCCAATTCTCAGCAAAGTTAAAAAACAAAGAAAAGGTCCAACAGACCCAAAAGTTTTTGACAGATGAACACACTTTTTTTAACTTCACCTATTCAAATTTTCATGTAATAAACACAACCGCATCATAAAGCCACATATAGATGTCTGATTTAATGTCCCTGGTGTTTAAATTATTGCACAAGGATTATCTCAGAGTGAAAAAAATTCCCCACTCTGTATTGTCCAATTCTCATTCTGGACTCATCTCTTGCCGCTATCTAAAACTTTCACAATTCTCTGCCGTATGACTAATCCTCTCAATGCTCTTTGCTTTTCCTTTCAATTCAATAATGTAGTTAATTTCCTTAATTATCCATGGATAATTCACCCTTCTTGTAGAGACAAATGACTTGTCTTCCTGCTCTGGCAGTGATTTATCCTTGGTTTCTTTCAGTTTATTGCTGCCCCCTTGGTGATATCATCCAAACGACAAAATTAGTTTTCACATGTACAATAATGAAATTCCACTTTACTTAGCATCACATCTCTTGACTTCTTCACTGCTGTTGAAGTACAAGACTGCTTATCTAACATTCAATATGGGATGAGATCAAATTTCTTCCAATTAAACAGTGGGAAGACTGAAGCTATTCACTTTGATCCCTACTCCAAACTCTGTCCCTCTCCCTGACAATAATCCCAGATTTAAGCAGCAAAAACAGAAATTGCTGGAGAAACTCAGTAGGTCTGGCAGCATCTGCAGAGAGAAAGGAGAGTTAATGTTTTCAGTCTAGTAACCTTTCTTCAGAACCAAGTAATCTGTTGACAATCTCTTTCCCATTTGACCCACAGATGAACTTCAGACCATATATTTGTGCCACTATTTATACGGCTACTTCCAACAGCATATTGTGCCTCAAAAAGAGAAATTGCTGGAGAAATTCAGTAGATCAGGCAGCAAGCATAGAGAGAAAGCAGAGTTAATGTATTGTGGCCTGTGACTGTGTTGTCAGCCCTGCTGAGTTTCTCCAGCAATTTCTGTTTTTGTTTCAGATTTCAGCATCTGCAGTTGTTTTATTTGAGCATCATGTGCCTGTTGCCTGTCTCTGCTAGTCCACTACTGAAACTCTCATGTTTTTTTACCTCTGAACTTGACAATTCCAACTCAATTCTGTCTAGCTCTTGCAATGTACCCTCCATAAATTTGGCATTATTTAAAACTGTTGCCCTTGATTTGCACAAGTCTTGTCTATCTATCACCCTTGTGCTCAGTGATCTACACAGACACCACCCTTCAGCAATGGCTTGACTTTAAAATTATTATTGTTTTCAAACTGCTCCACGGTCTCATTCCTACGTATCTCTAATCTTTTCTAACCCAAGACTCAGACATCCGCAGTCCTCGATCTCTGGCCTCCTGAGTTTTAATTGCTCCACCAGTAAATACAAGGTATAAATATTAGTGATCGAAGTTCTACGGGATTCACATGGCCAAATATCCAGATAATCAAAGATGAAGCTGCCAACAGTGCATCACTCCACCAAGAAAAGTTTTGAATTGAAATTACTCTATGGTCAGCCTAGGTAGTGTGATCAAGTAGGCCTTGAACCCAGACCTTCTGACTCAGAAGTGTGTGCGAAAACGCTGAGCTAATATTGCCCCATAAGAGTCTCTGCATTAAACTTTTATGCCACATCAATAGTGGTAATCAATGTCATGAGTCAATAGCTGTTAATAAATGAATCAAACGCATTTCAAAGGATTTGACTATAATAGGAACTATGTCAAGTCCTTTCCTGTGAAAGGAGTGCAACAACACAAATGACAGCATTGAGCAGATAATGAGGCCCATGGAGTATTCTATGCTGGCTATTCGAAAGGTCTAATCAATTAGTTTAACTCCACCCTGCTTTTCCTCCAGATTTCAAAACTGTTCCTGTTTGAAAGATTTTTAAGAGTATCCACATACTGTTCAAACCAATGTGCTAACCATCATCTCCGGATAGACAAGAATTCTACTGTTCTTAAGTGAGCAAAGAGGACAGTCACTCTCCATTTGGCAGCATGTTCATTTTCCTAGCAAAAATGAAATGCTATACCATTGGCCATTTTGCACATTCTTTCACTTCCTACCTCCACATAGCCTCCACCATGGTTCAGAAAGATCGCAAAATATTCCTATAGGCTAGAACAAATTTACCCCAAAGAAACTTACCTATTAGTGTTTGAGATGTTTTGGGAGCTGTTATTCCAATTTACCACCTGGGTCACTAAGATTAGCTGCCAGGACACGGCCAAAGCTGTGTTTATGAGGAAATGAGCAATCTCCACAAAACAGTACACAGTCAGTGCGACATTTTCAGTTGGCTATTTAGAGGTCAAATTTACCTGGACTGCAAAGTAAGGCTATGCAGCCTTGAGAAATACATTCAATACAATCCTGCGCAGCTACACTGCCCCCAGGGCCATGTAAAAGCAATGATCAAGGGGCACTTTTTGGATAAGTTACTGAACCCAGAAAATGGGAATTATATAAATTTATTCCATGGAATCGTTTGCATGAAAGCTTCAATATAGTAAGTAAAATAGGAATGGCAATGTTAATCATGTCAGGGAGTCAAGTAGGTGGCTGAGGGGAAATCACAGCTGAACCTGTCCATATGCACAACGTATATTGAAACAAACTTTTGCCAGCAGGGCCACCAGATAGAAATCAGAAGCAGGGGACTCAATTAACTTTTTGTTTCCCTGGCTCAGGATTTCAAGGCCAATTGCTGACCTACCCTGTCCTATCCTCTGCCATCACGTGTAAAATTAGCTAGCTAGAAATCTCCGTAATCAGTAAAACTCAATAGAACACACTTGGTGCACTTAGCCCAAGGTGAAAAGGAGCCACAGGTTGACTGTCAATTTGTAATTATCATACTTTTCATTTAAATAAGACTTATTAATGAAATTGAGTGTGATTGGAGGAATGTAACCAAGATTTCTGCAGAAGTCATTCACCTAGTTTATGATATGTGGAAGAATAAATTATAAACTTGATTTTACACATACTTTCCCTCAATCACCTATTTTTCCCCATTTATCTTTTCATGTGGGTGTCACGGCAAGGACAGCTATTTGTTGCCAATTCCTAATTGCCCTTAACCTAATTACCTCCATTTCAGAGGACAGCTCAAGAATCAATCATGCTACTGTGGGTCTGGAGTCACATGTAGGCCAGACCAAGTAACAATGTCAGATTTCCCTCCCTAAAAGGTATTAATGAACCAAATGAGTTTTTATAGCAATCAATAATAATTTATTTGCTCACAATTACTGGGCCCAGCTTTATAGTCTGCATTTATTAACTGAATAATTCCACGAACTGCCTTGCTCAGATCATTAGCTGGATCTTCTGGATTCGTAGTCCAGTGACATTACCACTGTCATAGACAAAAAGATATGGAGTAAATCAAATGTGTTGCAATGACAAAGTAAAGAAAGGCCAGGAGAAGCATGAAGTTAATCATGGGTGGTAAAATACGTAATCTTCTAAAAATATCAACAATAATTAACCAAACAAAAGATGATGACAGGTACTGAATTGTGGGGCCTTTAGCAGAGATATTTGTATTATTTACAGCCATGGGCGAGGTGCTGGAAGACTGGAGGGTAGCTAATGTTATGCCTTTATTTAAGAAAAGCTGTAAGAAAAAGCCTGGGAACTATAGGCCAGCGAGTCTGACATCAGTGGTGAATAAGTCGTCATTGCCTTCACTGCCCAGACCGCTGAGTGTAGGAGTTGGGATGTCATAATGTGGTTATACAGGACATTGGTCAGGCCACTTTTGGTGTACTGTGTAATAGCTCCGGTTGCCCTGCTATAGGAATGATCTTATTAAATCAGAAAAGACGTAGCCAAGATTTACAAGGATGTTACCAGCATTGGAGTTATGCAGAAAGGCTGGATAAGCTGGGATTTTTTTTTCCACTGCAACGTAGAAGGTTGAAGAGTGACCTAATAGAGGTTTATAAAATCATGAGGGGCATATACAAGGTGAATAGCAAAGGTCTTTTCACCAGGGTCGGGGAGTTCAAAACTAGGAGGCGTAATTTTAAGATGAGAGGAGAAAGATTTAAAAGGGACCTGAGGGGCAACTTTTTCACACAGAGCGTGGTTCGTATGTGGCCCTCTAATATCAACTCTATCAAATCGTTTTAATCAATTTCATCACCTCAACCAGGTCACCCAGTAATTTATTATTTTTTTTTTTTACAGAGACAGCACAAGGTCTTGAGCCAGGAGAACCAGGTTCAAGTCTCACCTAAACTAATCTAGAGGTGTGTAATAACAGGGCAGCATGATGGCTCAGTGATTAGCACTGCTACCTCTCAGCGCCAGGGACCTGGGTTCAATTCCACTCTCAGGTAACTGTCTGTGTGGAGTTTACACGTTGTCTCCGTGTCTACGTGGGTTTCCGCTGGGTGCTCTAGTTTCCTTCCCGATGAGCAGATTTCAGAAAGATCAGGAATGAGACAACAGTAAACATGAATTTCAGAAATAAAACAATTCAAGAGCTAGACAGACTGGATGCAGGGACAATGTTTCCCCTTGGCCGGGGTCTACAGCAAGGGGCCACAGTCCCAGGATATGGGACAGGCCATTTCAGACTGAAGTGAGGAGAAATGTCTTCACTCAGAGGACAGTACACTTGTGGAATTCTCTCCTGCAGAAAGCTGAGAAGGTGACATCACTGAATTTGCTTAAGAAAAATCAGATACATTTCTAGAGGCTGAAACTGTTGAGGGTTATAGGGAGAGTGCAGGAGTACAGAGTTGAGATAGATGACTATAATCATGTCAAAGAGCTGAGCCTGGTTTTACAAGTAAGCCCTAACCTTTCTTTGATCCCCTTATACACTTGCAGCTGGGATTCCTGCAAACCATTATGTTTCTACTTTAGACTAAGAAGAACTACAATGTTTAACTTTTAACTTATTTGTTTATTTTCTACTTTGTACCTAAGATGGCACCAGAGAATGACGACTTTATACAGTTATCACTGTACTCCTGTATCCCTGTACTTGAATAAAACCTGCTTTTAAGTATGTGGAATGAACTGCTAGAGGAATTGGTAGCTGCAGGTACAGTTTCAATATTTAAAAGACATTTGGGCAGATTCACGAATAGGAAGGGTTTAGAGGAACACGGGCCAAACACAGGCAACCGGGACTAGTTGCAAAACTTTGTCAGTATGGATGAAGTGGACCAAAGGGTCTGTTTCCATGCTGTATGGCTCTATGCTGTGGAAATTAAATTTTCAGCTAAAATATCTTCACTTGCTACTTACCCGTACTTCCATATTTGGTATACAAAGTATTCCTATTAAAGACTGGATACCCGAATTTCCAGGCCGGCAGAGATTTATAATTCCTGCAAACCAAGAAAAATCAAGACAGACAGTGTAAAGAAGGCTGCAGTTTCAAATCCCATGCAAACAAATTCAGGTAAAGTTTTCAAGAGACTAAAGAATTACAGCATTGAATGTGTAATTTCTACAGTTTGTTGCAGTCATCCTCAATACTGTGAAATTAACGTAAATGGGTAGACAAAATCATGAAATAATGTAAAACCAAAAATAAGCTGGGTAGTATTGGTGAGATTGCTACTTCTACCATCACTACTGCATACGGGATAAAGAATTATTTGAGAGACCAAATTATTTCATACAACTATATTCAATGTTTACACACTGCTAGTCAGTGCAATTATTCTATGCCTTAAAACATAAATATATCAGTGAAATAATAAATGCAGAACAGATAATAGACCAGTTTTTTTTGTTTATTCTTTTGAGGGATTTTGAATAGTGCCAGAAAGCTGAGCATCTATTGCCAATCCTGAACTGCTCTTGAAGTGAGTCATTTGCTCAGCCATTTCAGAGGGCAGTAAGAGTCAACCACAATACTGCGGATCTGGAGACACATTTGGCCAGATTGGATACAGGTGCAGAATTCCTTCCCTAAAGGCCATTAATAATGCAGATCGACTTTTAATGACAAAGTGCAGGAGAAACTCAGCATATCTGGCAGCATCTGTGGAGTGAGGAACTGAGTTAATGTTTCAAGCCAGATAGGACGCTTCTTTAGAGGTTTGTTCCAAACATTATTTGAAGGTTTGTAAATGACAATATATTATTGAGGATAAATAGTAGTAATTGTCACCAGAGCTCCAGTGGGCCATACGGCTTCCCTCTCGTTAGACAAAGAGACAACAGCAGATGAATGTAACCTGAGAGTCACCACACCACTGGCAAGGAGTGAGGTTGAGGGACCTTCATGTTGATTTCAACTGGTGTGGTAACAAACAGTGATATACACATTTGATGTGGGTTATGCATCTTGTTGAACCTTACCTGCCCAGGATCGGAAGGCTGCTACTATTGCCATTTTGCTGGCTAATAACCGTGCTTCTCTATCCTCTCTGCATGAAATTGAGAAATAAATAACTATTACACTCTGGAAAACAACAATTACATTTAGCTTTTCGCTATTTAAGATATACCCTTGCTGCAGTCAACAGCAATTGTAAGCCACTGTACCAGGTGATCACTTTGCAAGTATGGGCCAGGCAGAAAGTGCCAGTAGACTCTATAACTGCAGATAGAATCACAGTGAAACCCAACCCTGTTCTTGTTTGATGTCAGCAATCAAACAAGTGTGAATAACTGGACAGTGACCGAGTTATTAAACCCTGTTGTATATTTCTGTTCTCTTGTCTTAGAGCACTAAAGCCAGCCCCCAGTGGAAGCAGGCTAACTCAGCACACAAACGGAATGAGAGTGTACCTTAACTCGTCTCCATCACACCAAAATTTTATTTACTTGGCAATCACGGAAAGCTCTCCCTCTCTGGATCACTATTTTAGAACTTGTTGCTCTGTGCCGCATAGTTATAATGTTTTAACTGGGAAGTGTGTGCCAATAAACGTGCCCCACTGTTCCACAATCTGTCACAAAATGTACCCAGATCCCAATTTGCCTGACTGACTGTTATACAGGACAAAAGCAATCCTCACCAGGTTTCGTCAGTAACAGTAAAGTAACTTTTATGACAATAAACAACAGCACAGGAAAAAAAGGATTTCCGGTTACTACAAAAAAAAGACTTGAAAGAATTATGGAGAATCTAAATCAGAAACAAAAATAGAGATTACTGGAAAAGCTCAGCAGTTCTGGCAACATTCGTGGAAAGAAATCAGAATTAATATTTCGGGTCAAGTAATCCTTCCTCAGGACTGAAGAAGGGTCACTCGACCCGAAACATTAACTTTGATTTCTCTCCACACCTGTTGCTCGACCTGCTGAGCTTTTCCAGCAATATCTATTTTGTTTCTAAGCTACTACTATTCACCTTAAACTATACCCTTTCAAAACCCTAAATCCACAAACACGCACTCATGATTAAGACAGATAAAAGACAAGCAAAACACACATATGCTATGAATAAGAAAAACTAGGTAAACAAAATTCTGAAGATCAAATGTCCAGACTATAAAGTGGAAAATTATTTTCTCACAGTCCTTTTGATTTTAGTAATGAGGGCACACTGTTGTCTATGGGATGACAGTCATTCTTCATTTTGATGGTTGATTAGGTGAACCTAGGTCTTTAGCAAACAGAAAAAGTGCTGGAGAAACTCAGCAGGCCTGGCAGAATCTGTAGAGAGGGAAACAGAATTAACATTTCAAGTCCAATATGATTCTTCTTTAGAACTTCTCTCTCTACAGATGCTGCACCACCCGAGTTTCTCCAGCGTTCTGAATTTGTTTCAAATTTCCAGCATCCACAGTATTTTGCTTTTTATTTCAGGAACCTAGGTCTTTTCTTGTTTTAGAATTCTTAAAGCTTTCTTGTTTATTTCCCTGTCTTTTTCTCACTGACAGAAAGATTATGCTTTCTTTCTGCAGACTGGATGCTTCTCTCCTCTGCCTGATAATACAGTTTGTAACGTTGCAGCTCAATCAGAGCACTGTTGTCAGGCAGAATTTCCATAACTCAAAAAGATTCCTGGTGCCATTCGGGCTGAATTCTCCATTTCACTGCTCCAAAAATTGTCATTGCATTGGGCAGCTCTACAATGGTCAACATTTGATTTTCAGTTACAGTAGTCCACATTCCATTTCAGTTTATTGTTCCAAAAGATCAAATGTGTGATCTCTTACACATTAAACTTTTTCAGGATAGTACACTTTATGGTATTTGAAAGAAAGTGAAAGAGAAAACTTACTTGAGCTGCCCTTCTGCAGTGTCTGGATTATGTCTGTAGTGAAAATCAGTATATGGTGCTAAAATTTGCTGCAATAAAGAAGAAAGCAACAATTTCCCTTACAATTCCAGCTCGTAAATTAACTCAAACAAACACTTAAATCTAACACCCTCAAATACTCCTTATGCATCATCCACCTTGTGATTAGCACGTAGTAGGAGCAATGTTATGTGATATAAAACCATTTAAAGAATCAGTTCCCTTCTCAAAGCTCACAATAATTCATTTGAACATAGTCTGCCTAACTGAGCTTCCAACATGGAAATGCATGCTCTGCCTGCAACATGTAAGAGTGGCAAAAATCAGGATAGTTCCAATGGCAGTCTTTTCAATACAGACCTCTAATAACATGCCCAAAAGAGCAACAGTAGGCGTTTCACCCTGTCAAGTGTGTTCCACCATCCAATATGATCATGGTGGATCATCGATTCAATTACGTTTTCCTACTCTTTCCTCATTTCTCTTTATATCATCAATGTTTAGAAATGTTTCAAGCCCTGATCTAAACACCTTCAATGACTGAACTTTTACAATCTTCTGGGGTAGATAAGTCTGAAGATTCACAAACCTGTAACCAAAAACATGTTTACTCATCTCAATCCTTAAATGGTTACGTATCACACTACAGTGATTTTCTTTCATGAACTTCCCAAAAAGCCCTAAGCCACACTGGAAATGGAAAATTTGTCCTGATATCCTAGCTGTACTCAACTTTTGTGGTCCAAATTTGCATCTAAGTTTGATATTGCTTCTGTTAGCTTTATAGCACAGGCTGTGAACTGCATCTTGCTTACTTATTGAAGCATATAGGTTAGAATTTGTACAAACCAGATTTCTATACAACAGGGTGCACAACAAGTGCGATATTTCAAAATCAAAATCAAACAAGTAGCCTTACCTCCAGCTCCACATCGGCTCTTACATATTTCCGTGTCTTTGGGTGATTTAGCAGGTGTAGAATGGTTGTAATGAGTGCTTCATTTATGCGATTCAGTTGGCAATCAATCACATTCTTCAGAATGGTGCTGAGACCTCCTCGGAGGGCAACCACCTCTGCATTCTGAAGTGCTGAGAAAGTAAAAGAAAAGCTCGCATTTTCCTAACAGAAAACAAGAAAACTCCGGATCTCTGTCAAGAGGAAAGTGCAATCAGACAAACCTAAAATTTGACATCTTTTGAGTTTTGCTTTATTCTGGTTCAAGCCCTAGCCAAAACAGAGAGTAGCAATGCAGTCAGGACTGTCATCCTTCAGACTGAAAACAAATTGAAGCCTTCATCTTCCGAATCTTACAAAAGAAAGAGAGTAAGATCCCACAACATATGGCAAAGAGTAGGAAGATCTCCTAGTATTACAGCTATCATTCCACACCAAGCAAACAGCCTGTGTGTAATTTTCACCATCACCCATCAAGTGGTAAACTGGTACTCATCTGAAGTAATACCCATTTGATATTCATTCCTATTGTAATTCACTGTCAGTTTGCCTCCCCATGTGATGAAGGTGAAAATTATCCCTATTAACAAATTATTTATTAGAGACAGAGTAATATAGCATGGAAACAGACCCTTTGGTCCATGCTGACCACAATGCACACTTGGCTAGTTCCAATTGCCTGCATTTTGCCCATATCCCTCTAAACCATTCTCATCCCTGTGCCTATGCAAATGCTTTATAAATGTTGTTATTGTACCTGCCTCAGCCACTTTCTCTGGCAGCCCATTCCATATACGCTCCATTCGGAGCTCCGCTCTGCTCGCTAGTTCTCTTTGTCATTTTTTTTTCTCCCTTCTTCTCTCTCCCTCTGCAATAATTCTATTTCCACCCCCCCACCCCCTTTTAACTACCTAAGGAGTCAGGAAGGAGTTGGGTTGCGACCAGGAAGCACGTTGTGGGAGCTGAACACGCAGGTTGTGCCTGCTGCGACAGCGGATCGAGCGTGGGCCAGAGCGACAGCGGCGGAACAAGAATGGACCAGTGAAAGCAGGCTGTTGAGGCAACGGTGACGAGAGCAAGCCGGTGAGGCAGCTGAGAGTGGGACACTGGCGGAGGCATGGCGAGGGCTGGAAAGCCCAGAGTGGGACTGCGGCAGTGGAAAGGAAAGTTGGACTTTAACTTATCTTTTTATCTTATCTTATTCTAAGTTAATGTGAACAGCGCCATGTATGTACAGTGAAGGTACACACTTTTCACTGTATTTTTACATTGAATACCTGTGATAATAAATGATTCAATTTAACTCTGTATGAAGGAGTTGCCCTCTCACCTTAAACCTATGCCCTCTAGTTTTCAATTCCCCATCCCTGGGAAAAAGACTATGTGCATTCATCCTATCTAAGTCCCTCATGATTTTATACACCTCAATAAGGTCACCCCTCATTCTCCTACATTCCAAGGAATAAAGTCCTATCCTGGCCAACCTCTCCCTATAACTCAGGCCTACAAGACCTGGCAACATCCTCAGAAATCTTTTTTGCACACTTTTCAGTTTAACTATGTCTTTCCTATAAGAGGGTGACCAATACTGTACACAGTACTCCAAGCGTGGCCTCACCAACAATTTATACAACTGTAACATAACATCCCAACTCCTATACTCAACGCCTCGACCAATGAAGGTCAGCTTGCTAAATGCCCTTTTCACCACCCTGTCGACCTGTGACACTGCTTTCAACAAACTGTGTACTTGTACTCCCGGGTCGCTCTGTTCCACAACACTCCTCAGGACATTACCATTTACTGTATAAGTCCTACCTTGATTTGAATTTCCAAAGTGTAACACCTCACATTTATCTATATTGAATTTCATTTGCCAATCCTCAGCCCACTTCTCCATCTGATCAAGATCCATCTGTAATTTTTGATAACCTTCCTCGCTATCGACAATACCTCCTAATTTTGTATCATCTACAAACTTACTAATCATGCCTTGTACATTCACATCCAGATCATTTATGTAAATAACAAAGGTCCCGGCACTGACCCCTGTGGCACACCACTAGTCACAGGCCTCCAGTCTGAGAAACAACCTTCAACTATCACCCACTGCTTCTTACCATCAAGCCAATTTTGAATCCAATTAGCTAGCTCTCCCTGGATCCCATGTGACCTAACCTTCATGACAAGCCTGTCATGCGGGATCTTGTCAAAGGCCTTACTAAAGTCTTATAGACAACATCCACAGCCCTACCCTTATCCATCCTTTTGGTTACATCTTTAAAAAACTGTAAAAGATTTGTCAGGCATGACTTCCTGCGCACAAATCCATGCTGACTATCCCTAATCAGACCTCAACTATTCAAATGTTATTGATTCTGTCCCTCAGTATCCTCTCCAATAACTTGCCTACCACTGATGTCAGGCTCACTGGCATGTAGTTCCCTGGCTTGTCTTTGCTACCTTTCTTTAACAATGGAACAACATTAGCCACCCTCCAATCTTCCAGAACTTCACCTGTGGCTAAAGATACAAGGGCCTCTGCAATTTCTTCCCTATTCTCTCACAACATCAGAGGATGGACTTGATCAGGTCCAGGGGATTTATCCACCTTAATGCACTTTAAGGCTCCAAATACAACCTCTCTAGTAATATGTATGTGTTCCAAAACATCCCCACTGGTTTCCCTTATTTCCTTAGCATCCATGATTCTCTCCTCAGTAAACGCTGAGGAGAAATATTCATTAAAAAATCGTCCCCATCTCCTGTGGCTCCATACATTGATGGCCATGCCGATCTTTGAGGGGACCTATTCTCTCCCTAGCCACCCTCTTACTCGTAAAATAGCTATAAAACCTCTTGGGATTATCTTTTACCTTACCTGCCAAATCCAGCTCATACCCTCTTTTTGCTCTTCTGATTTGCCTCAAGTGTGCTCCTACACTTTTTATAGTCATCTAGGGATTCACTTGAGCCCGACAGCTTAAACCCAATGTATGCCTTCTTCTTTTTCCTGAACAGAGCCTAAATATCCCTCGTCAGCCAGAGATCACTAAACCTGCCAGCTTTTCCCTTCACCCTAATGGGAACATACTGTCCCTGGACTCTTGATATCACTTTTAACAGCCTCCCATTTGCCAGTCATTCCTTTTCCTTCGAACAGACTCACCCAATCAATCTCTGCTAGATCCTGCCAATTGGCCCTGTTCCAGTTCAGCACCCTAACCTGTGGATCTGTCCTATCTTTTTCCAAAACTATGTTAAAACTAAGAATGTTATGGTCACTGGACGCAAAGCGCTCTCCAACTGACACTTCAGTCACTTGCCTCGTTTCCTAAGAGGAGGTCCAGTGTTGCACCCTCCCAAGTAGGACCCTGTATATAATTGATTTGGGAAACTTTCTTGAACACATTTGACAAATTCCACCCCGTCTGGACGTTTTAGACTCTGGGTGGCCCAATCAATACAGGGGAAATCAAAAATCTCCAAAAAATACTACTCTGTTATTCCTACAGCTATTTGCAGTCTCTCTACACATCTGCTCCTCTAGTACCCACTGGCTATTTGGGGGCCTATAATACAGTCCCAGAATGACCATCCCTTTCTTGTTTCTAACCATATGGCCTCACTTGATGATCCTTAAAGATAGCTTCTCTAAGCATTGTTAGGTCCTCCCTTATCAAAAGGGCAACTCCCTCTCCTTGCTTACTTGTACTTCTGTCATGCCTATAGCTTCTGTATCCTGTAATATTGAGCTGCCAGTCCTGCCCTACTTGCAGCCATTACTGTTCCATTCCATCACTGTTTTTGAGACCTTGTGTGTTACGATGATCCCAACTGGTATTGACCATATCTTCTCTTGGTTTTAATGTGGTGGTCTTTTATTGATAAACAAACACAGAATGTTGTAGATTTAGATTTAACAATAAAAACAAAAGTTTATGACACAAAAGATAAAGTAGAATAAACCAAACTATTTACATACGACATATATTTAAACATTTTTAAACATGGTAAAAATACAATTCCATTATAATTCCAACAGCAGCCCATTACAGTACTCAAACACCAGACAGAATTCCCTTTTCTATCCTTCATAAGCATTGAATTAGATGTGGCTTTAATTCCCATTCATTAGAATCTGTTTAACTCTTCCTTGATTTGCCATATAACTGAGTTTAGTCAGTTTCAGCTTCAAATAACCCCTTCAGGGGATTGACTAAACACTTCTGGTCTGGAACTTTTAAAAACTTTTACGGGGGTAACCTCTTTCTAAAAAATCCTAAAACTATCTCCTTTTTTCAGGAGCAACTGTTTCACATATCCAGTTTCAGCCAAGACATCTGCAAACTGCCCAAATGAATATCAAAAAGCTTTTTATTCAAGTTATAGTCATTTTCCCTAAATCCAAAGAAAATTCCAAAACCTTTTATCTGAAAGCCTAATGCAACATACTGTTTGCTTTGTTCACTGGCAAGTAATGTAAACAAAACAACTTCATTCTTGGAAGTATTTCTCTAATACGGTGTTTTAAAAGAAAACACCACGGCCATTGAAATACTTACAAGTTATTCATTAAAATCCTTCATCAGGACACAGAAAATTCATATACCACTAGTTCAGTTTAAAATATGTATAAATCCTACACTTTACATCACAGAATAAACTGTGCTGAACTGTTTGCTCTGCAAATGTCCACAGCCTCAAAATTAATTCATTGTGAAGCACTTTAGGATGTACAGAGAGCCTAAAACGTCAGTTCTGAAAACTCATTTGTCCTTTCTTGTATTAAATTTTTACATGAACAGTGCTGATGACATCAAAAGATAGTGGGGAAAAGCACTGCCGAGTTTGAAACTGATACAATAGAAACCATGTGAAGGGACGAGCTTAAGCACCGTATACTCCCTTGTAGTATAACTCGGTAATCTTTCCCTCAGTGCCTTACATTGCAGCAACAGAAATTGCTGACAATTTTTTTTTGGAGCACCTTTAAGCCACACACTGTCAAGAGGCAGTCACTCTTAACTAACTTCTGGAATTTAGTTCTTTTGTCTATGCTCACACTAAGGCTGTAATAAGGTGAGGGTCCAAGTGGCAGAAATGAATCCTAATGACAGGTTATTCCTTTCTAAGTGCCACTTGAAAGCGCTGTCAAGCATCACTTCCATTAATATGTTTATGACCGACAGTAGACTGACAAGTTGGTAGTTGGATTTGTCTTGCTTTTTGGGCACAGTACATACCTGGACAATTTTTCACATTGCTAGGTAGAGTGCCATTGTGGTAGCTGTACTAGAACATCTGGGCTATGGATTCAGCTGGCACTAGAGCAGAAATCTTCAGTACTATGACTAGAATGTTATCAGGTCCCATAGCTTTTGCATCACCCAGTGTCTTCAGTCATTTATTGAAATCGCATAGAGTGAATCAAATTGCTGAAGACTAGCATCTGTGATGCTGGGGCCCTCTGAACTGTCACTCAAGTGATAACAGCATTGCAGTGGAATGGGAGCCAAGGTTTTCTCCCTGACTACAATCGGTTTGAAAGCACAATATTTTACTGAGAAACTACATTACAACAACTGGCTAAATCCAAGTAGACGCACACACTTTTGTCTTGCAGGGCAGATACTAAGGAATAATTACCAGAAAGGAAGAAAGATTAGTTCAATTACCTAGCTCACAGAGGATGGCAAGACATGCTCGGACCATTCGATCACGCTCTTGGAGTCCGTCATTTCCAACTGCAATCAGAGAATTGGTGATTGAGCTGGGGAACAGAGCAGCATTCACAGTGATCATCTGTGTAAAACAGAAAAACAACTTTTAGTCCTTCAGTTTCAAGTCCTTGGAAAGAGGTCAGCACTTCAGGAGCAATCCAAATACACTACCAGTGCCCTATGACTTCATAGGTGAGTCAGCATCACATTTAGCTTTTCCTTCTGTTGTGTTTCGCCCAATAATTCCAATGCCTGATGAAGGTTGACAATAAAGGAGAAATTCACCTGCATATTATGCGGTTATTAGGAGCAGAATTATACAGCACCTCAATCTATTTTCATATTTAATGAATCACTTTGAAGTTATGTGCAGGATACAGGAAAACGATGGTAGCCTAATTAATACATTGTTGGTGGTGTTGGAAGGAATGCTGGTCATTCTCTGAAGAGCAGAGTGGGAACTTTAACATCCACCTGTTCAAACAAATGGTTTGGGGGAACGAGTGCCCTTAGTTCAGCATCCAATGTACAGGATAAGACCATAAGATATAAGAACCAAATTAGACCATTTGGCCCATTGAGTCAGCTCCATCATTCAATCACGACTGATACATTCATCAACTCTATTCTCCTGCCTTCTCCCTGTAAGCCTTGATCCCATGACTAATCAAGAACCTACTTCTGCCTTAAATACACTCAATGAATTGGCCTCCACAGGCTTCTGTGCCAAAAAGTTATAAGGGCATAAGATAATACCTTTGACAATGTAATATTCCCCCAATGAATTCAAGCTAAGAAAGATCACATGTTCAATTTGCGTATAAAATCTCAACACAAAACGGTGCTACTGACTGAAAAAAGCTGTATTAAATATAAAGTGAAAGAAACATAATAAAGACAAAGAGATGGTTCAACCTAAATCCATTTAAGGATTTCTGCCTGCGAATCCAACCCTGCCATGAACCTAGCCTAGTTAAGAACATTGTAAACAGGAAAAGTAGCTGGGTTCCCTTGATTATGGATGAAGGCCGGCTTTCAACAGGATCTTGGTCATCAAGAAGAAACCCATCACTGCAGAGAAACTTGTTTTGAATGGAGTATAGGAGCCTGTAAGATTCCCTTACAGGTTTTAATGAAGGTCTTAAACTAGAGAAAGGCCTCAAATATGCTGAATGAAAAGAAAACTAAGCTATGGACAGAGAACAGAAGATGGGGCAAGATTCCAAGAGGAAATTTGTGGAAGAAGGCAGTGATACAACAACAAATCTAGCTGTCCAATTCATCAATGATTTCTCCACCACCATGAGGTCGAAGTATTTACAATGATAACACATTAAATGGGTAATGAAATGGATAATACAGATTATCGGAGGTAGAATGGGCATTTTTCAGGAGCTAGACTGACTGCCTCAGGGCCTTTCATGAGTTTGCACATATAGAGACACGTAATTTGATCATGGCAGTCATATCACACAGGCTGGCTCTGATGTCCCCCATTTCAGCATCACAATTGCAAGGTGAACAGGAGGCACAAGCCCTATTTACGAGATTGTTTATGAGACAAATATTTTGGAACTATAGAATCTTAATGAGTATATTGAACAGTGAAGGTAGGTTTACAGTAGAGAACCATCTGGCTAATTGTTGAACTAGGACACCAAAGAAAAGCAGCATGCGTGACTGTTCCATTTGAAAGATGAATTTGAGAGTAGGATGGAACCATTAAGACATGGAAGGAAATTGGTTTACCTCTGGAAGGATAAGGCATCTCAAAAGCAACAGGTGAAGCTGTTTCACGCTGCTACTATGCAAAAGCAACAAAACCTGTGCTTGCCGCTAACAGGATGCTGCCATCATACCAAAAAGATTTGCTGTCCGTCAAACAAATGAGTAATGTGGTATATCAAATGAAATACTGGTGTGATGCCAGGTATGTAGTCATACATTCCAAAGGATGGCAGATCGTATCAAACAGTACATAATTTTGGCTGTTCACAACAAGCAAGTTATTGACTGTACCCAACCAGCCCATGTTGACAAAACTCACAACACAGTGTCCAACATTAGATGTGGCTCTACATTTGGACAACACCTGCTAGATAATCCTGAGTGGGTGAGGAATTACATTAACAACCAATTTAGGATTGTTAGTTGGATTGTCACTTACAATGTTGCACCCTTTGTGAATACTAGACACTACATGTATTAATTCAAAGGGCCCTGTTCATTTATGAGCATGTACACAAATGGTTCCTGTTTCAACTCAACAAAATAGGTGTCAGTCATTGACTTGTTTATTTGTCAGGGCAATACCCTAAATCACCCTGCATGATTTAAAATTTATACAAAGGTTGGCAGTTAATCATCATTAATTGGTATATTCTCCATGGCAATGATGAGCAGATTAAAGTAAACATACATGTGCAGTAGAAGGTGAAGAAGACAATAAGTATGTTCGCCTTAACAGCGACAGGATTTGAGTACAGGAGCAGGGATGTCTTGCTGCAATTGTCCAGAGCATTGGTGAGACCATACCTGGAGTACTGCGTGCAGTTTTGGCCTTCTCATTGAAGGAGGTATTTTCTGGCTATTGAGGGAGTGCAAAGAAGGTTTGCCAGACTGATTCTTGGGACAGCGGGACTGATGTATGGTAACAAACTGGATCAGTTATGGCAAATTCACTGGAGCTTAGAAGAATGAACAGGCATCTCATAAAACGCAAAAATTCTAATAGGATCAGACAGGGTAAATGCTGGAAGGATGTACTCGATGATCGTCGAGTCCACCACGGTCAGAGTCAAAGGATACTGGGTTGGCCATTTTGGACTGAGATGAAAAGATGCAACTGTAGATTTCTCTGCCAAACCGTTGAGGCCAAAACAATGAAGACTTTCAAGAATGATGCTCTTAGGACTAAAAGCGATCAACGGATATCAGGAGAAAGTAAGAACAGGGTACTGAGATGAATGATCAGCCATGATCACATTGAATGGCAAAGCAGGCTCGAGGGGCTGAATAGCCTGCTCCTTTTTTTTTAATGTTATCACTAATAGTGACAGGAAATTAATAAAAAAGTAGTAAGGTTTCTCTTTAGTTAGAGAGGGTACTGATGAGACCACATCTGGACCAATGAGCACAGAATTGATCCAATTATTTAAAGAAATATGTAAGTATGTTAGAAGCAGCTCGAAGAAGGTTTACCAGTTCTGAGGAAGGGTCACCACACCTAAAATGTTAACTCTGATTTCTCAACACAGTTGCTACCAGATGTGCTGAGCTTTTCCAGTTGTTTTTGTTACCAAACTAAATACCTTGAACAAGCAGATCATCTTATTAAGAAAGGCTAGACTCACCTTATTAAGAAAGGCTAGACTCACATCTGCTGGAGTTTAGTCTAGATACAGGTCACTTATTTGAAACATACAAGATTCTAAGGTACCGACACCATGGATGCAGAAAGGACGTTTCTTCTTATGGGAGGATCTAGATTTGGATTTTAAAATTAAGGGGTCACAAATTTACAGAGGAGAGGAGGCCTTTTTCAAAAAAAAAAAGTCATGAATCTTTGGAGCTCTCTTCCTGAAAAGGCAGTGGCAGTCTTTGAATATTTTTAAGGCAGGAATAGAGAGATTCTTGCTCAGCAAGGAAGCGAAAGGAGATTGGGGTAGACAGCAATCTGGATTTGAGATCACAATCAGATTAAATGGCAGTGCAAGTTTGAGGGACAGAATGACCTCCTTCTGGCTCCACTTTCGTATGCACGTTGCTGTTTGAACGATACCACAGTTACTTCAATACTACTGGGTCAAAATTGTTTGTTCACCTATACAACACGGACTGCTGTAGTTCAAGAAAGTAGCTCAGCATCACATTCTCAAAGGCAATTAGGGTTGGGCAATCAGTGAACATCCTCACTTCTGACCTTACAATGGAGGAAAGGTCATTGACAAAGCTGCTGAAGATGGTTGGGCCTAAGACTCTAACCGGTGGAACTCTTGCAGAGATGTCCTGGAGCTGAGATGATAAACCTCCAACAACCACAACCATCTTTCTTTGTGCCAGACTTGACTGCAATAAGCAGAGAGGTTTCCCAATTCCCATCAGCTCCATTTTTGCCAGGGGTCCTTGATGATACACTCTGTGAAATGCAGTCTTGATGTCAAGGGTAGTCACTTTCACCACACCTCTGGAATTCAGCTCTTTTGTCCATGTTTGAACCAAGACCGTAATAAGGTCAGGAGCTGAATGGTCCTGGCAGAACCCAGACTGGCCATCAGTGAGCAAGTTATTGCTGCGCAGGTGCTGCTTGATAACACTGTTGATGATATCTTACTGAGAGTAGACTGATGGGGCAGTAACTGGCTGGATCGGAAATGTCCTGCTGTGTGTGCACAGGACATACCTGGGCAATTCTCCACATTGTTGAGTAGATGCCATTATTGTAACGGTACTGGAACAGCTTAGCGAAGGATACAGCACGCCTTCAGTCCTATTGCCAGAATGCTGTCAGGGCCCGTAGTCTTTGTAGTATCCGTTGCCTCAACTTTTTATTGTGATGTTACAGGAAGCTAACTGGAGTGGCTGAAAACTGGAATCCATGATGCTGGGGACCTCTATAAGAAGCCAAGATGGATCATCTACTTGGCATTCCTGGCTAAAGATTGTTGTGAATGCTCAAGCCTCATCTTTTGCTCTGATGGGCGGAGGTCTGCTATCGTTGAGGAGAGGAATATTTGTGCAGCCTCCGCTTCCAGTGAGTTGTTTCAATGTCCGTCACCATTCATGACTGGGTATGAAAAAACAACAGAGCTTAGATCTGACTTGTTGACTGTGGAATTGCTTAGCTCTGTCTATCACTTGCTGGTTATACTGTTTGGCATGCAAGTAGTCATGTTTTGTCACTTCACCAGGCTGACACTTCAATTTTAGTAATGCCTGATGCAGCTCCTGACATGCTCTTTTGCACTCTTCACTTAACCAATGTTTTACTCTGTTCTCAGCACAGCATTGAGATAACTTTGCACTCTTGTGATGCAGAGACAGAGTCCCTACTTTTGACCCAGGTTCATGTCCTACCTGTTT